TGGAATAAACAGCCCGCGATTTTCGCCTGTCACTAACGTTACAACGTTATCCCTTGTATAATGTCGAGTGGGTAAACAGTTTCCGTTATAAATTGTTTCAATGGTGGCAGTAAAATTTCAATTTTGAAGAGAAAACATTGTGAATACCCCGGGTCGACTGCCCCTGTCTGGTGCCGTACGGTTTACAGATTTCCTGGGCGAGTACAAGACGCGGACATTCGCGTATAATAACAATTATTTAATGACATAAGTAAAAAATATAATAAATGTGTGATATAGTGATCAGCAAAATCTCCTCTCTTGCTATTTTTTCTATTCAGTTAACATGCTATGGTCATTAAATGGCTTTCCTGAGCTAAATGTAACGTTATGTGACATAATTGTTTTCCTGCTGTTATATTGACCTCTTTCCATGGTTTAAAAACACTAATTGGTCGATATTATGTATACTTTCTAGCTGTAACGTTACCTTACCCTTGCCCGTTGCAATGTGAAAATGAGATAAATAATGGACACAAATGAAAAACATGAATTTGTTTATTTGATTTCATTTATTTATTTATTGCTGCCAAATGGACAGATCTTTTTATAGTTTCCTCGTTAGCAAACGTTAGCCTAGCTAGCTTGCCAAGCTATTTTCATAAATAACGTTAATCTGTAAGATCGTTTGTACCTTCATCTGTGACTGGAGGCCACTGCAGTCACAGATCAAACCAACAAGTCATTCTGCCTGGCTGTAGCTGTCATCGAGGGTGAGTTCGCGTTATCACAGAGGTTTGTTTACATACCGGTGCATATGTCTATATGCCTGTGTAACAGCTCAGTAATGGCGTCGCCACAAGATGGCAGCCTACACAGAACGCTCGTCGGATTCGTCTATCCACAAGTTTCCGAGGGGCGCTCATGTAAAAAATAAAGTGGGTGAAACTTCCGGTGAGGCGGCGGAAGTAGCATTCCAATGGTATTTTGTGTGTTAGTTAGCGAAGAGGCTAGCTGTTTTTCTGAGAATTATTTTACTATTTAAAGACGCCAATCTTTATGAGAGATGTCGTTACGGAGCTCAGGGACAACATGTGCTGTTTGCGGTTGTATGTATAGCCGGACTAAACTAGTTCAGTGGCTTAAACGTGACTGTTTTGAACATATGCTGAAAACGAAATCAGAGTGATCCTGCCAACGACTGTAGTTTCCATCACCTCCCAAAAGACGACGAATCTTCCTGTGTACATTTGTTTAAATTCTTAATATTCTATAAACTCTATCAGCATGTGATTGGCTGTTCACTATTGATGTTACAGCTAAACTCAGGATCAAAGCCTGTGTTGACAGAATACCAATGTGCCAGTTAATGTATTCAAGCAGCACATTCATTTATAATTCTGAATAAACTCCAAAGCACAATGACTAAGTGTGTATTTTTTATTTTAATTGTTTGTCAGCTCGCACAACTGTCTGTCAACATGCCTTGATGAGTATTGATTATTAATAATGTTATTATAATACTCCCAATCAACTACTGCGGAGGGTAAAGGTACTGTTATTTCACCCTTTTTAATTTCGTTGAGGTTGTGTTCCCACATCGTTAGCTAGTTTGGATCGCTATAACTTGAATGACCGTCAACTGTTGAATGAACAGTGTCAAGCATGTCAAGTAGCGCTTTGTTTACTTCAAACCGGAAGTCGCGCCCACTTTTGACGCAAGGCCTCATGGGGCGTAGGAACGCATAAATTCCGCATTTGACGCAAGGATGCTCGTCCATTTCCGGTTGTGGAGATTAAAGCGGAGGAAAACCGAGGAAAACGGGATTATGGCAGAGTCTTCAAAATTTACTGTCCTCCAGTCTTTGAAATGAAACGTACATACGTTTAGATGTAATTTTATATATAGTTATATTTATTTAATATAATTTTAAAAAGAAGCATAAACACAACGAGGGGTGTCTGTTTTATCTGTTTTTGTGACTAACGTTTCTTTAGTATAACCATGGAGTACAAAATTCAATATAAATTCTCGGTATTGCATTGGACTCTACAATCGGCGGAAGTTATCGAGCATCCCTAATGCTTCACCGGAAATACCGCCGTGCATAGAGCCCATAGTAGCTACCTGACTATTTTCCTTACAGTACATGACTGGCGATGAACATGGCTGATTTTGTGAGAGACGAAGAGGGTGACTTCTCAGACAGTCAAGAGCCAGAGCCATAACGTTACCTATTTGAACCAGAGTTTTCAGAAGAGGAGCTGCGTGCTTTAGAAATAGACCGAGAGGAGGAGGATGTTGCGATCGCTCAACAGCCTGAGGATGAGGATGAGGGCCAACACGAACTGGTGGTGTGAATGTGGGGGAATATGCCAACCTATGCCAACTGAGAGTGTCTGTGCTGTGGCGAGTGGGGCCGATGGCCAGGCTCAACGCGTCAGATAAGATGAGCGTGCCCGCAGTTGTGTCACAGCTAACATTACTGAGGATTTCACGGCACTAACCCTGATCCATCCTGCAGTACTCGTTTTTTTCCCCGGTGCGATAAGGTGAACTGGAAAAAAAACGCGCCACGCCGAATGGACCAAATGGGTAAGTTATAACGATAACAGGTTGTTCATGCTAAACAGGTGGAATTCAACATGACGTTCGTAGTCTAGATAAAGCTTCTCAGCATCGATCTTACAACAGAATAAAGACACCGATAAACATAAGGAAGAGAGTAATAAAAGAACTTACTTTGTTCAGCCTGCGCTTTGAAAACAGATGGGATGGCCGTATCTTTCAGACGTAGTGACTTTACCGTCTTTCTGGGCACATATTCCATTTTTTCAAGGGTAACGTTAGTCCTCTGGTGCAAAATGCTGTTCGCAAACAAAACTGTTTTATTTTGTCGAGTGGCGTTGATGTAGGCTACAGATCTCCAGACAGAGCAGCTAGCCATTTATTTCTCAGTTTCTGTGAAACATTACATTCGTGTAGTTCTTTGCTTGTTCTCACAACCTTTTGCTATGCAGGTAATTACCATGTTTGCTGTAACTTCTCAAAATAAATACTCCTAAAGCGAAGACACTTGTTGCAGGTCGCGCCGCTATGTTCTTCTTCAGTTTTTTTTTTTTTTACGCGCAAAACACCGGTATGCGTGACGTCTCTGCGCCTCAGTAGCAGTGATTCGCCTTAGCTGCAGTGCTTCGCCTGTGCTTCCCCCTAATATAGTCCCAAGTCAATATCTGCCTAGGAAATCGCCGAGTGTTAATCTGCGTCGCTATTTGTACTCGTTGTGAATACGCAGGCCACAAGAAGTAATTACGTGGGTTTGTTTATTTTTTTTAACCACTTTTACTCAGGACATGCTAGCTGGCAACAAGGGAATCCATTCATTGTGCTAAGCTAAGCTAGCGCCGACCCCATAGATATCATATAGAGACTCCGCCATCTTGAACCGGTCGTATTCCTAGTTTCGTTGCGTGGCAGCAGATAAGATGCCAGAGCACTGTGAAGCATTTTCCTGTTCTTATCGCCAGACCACCGAAAATAGGGCTTTTCACAAGTAAGTCTTAACATTACCGTACTATTGGTTGTATTTTGTGAATAGAATATTACCAGATAATCGAGAAGGAGCAAGGATATTTGCTATTACTGTATTGAAATCGTTGTGAAATGCTGTTTACTGCATCAGCCGGTGTTCACCCGGCATGGAGAGGTGGGGTAACTGTTAAAGTAATAATTACAAAAGCTTCTAGGTTATCAGATAAGCATTCAACTGCCCTGTTGTATAGGTTATTTGTGTTTACGCACATCAGGAAGCAACGTAATATACGCATGACAGCGATGCGCAAATTGAGTTACCTCTCCAACTTTTAGTTTTATTGATCTTACCACATGCGATTTGGCTATTGATATTACAAAAGTCCTGTGGTAAAATTACATTAACTTACTCCATCTACCCTTGTAAAGTTAATCCGAATATGGCTTTAGTCTCGACATTTTCCCCTCCTACATCCACATACAATAAAATAAGGTATAGCCTTAATGTTGTCCGAATTTAATTTTTAGAAATTAACGTTACTGATGCAAACACGCTGAAAAGCTTCTTCTCAATTTTTATTACAGGTGGCTGCGTTCTGTGTGTGTGAAAGTGTGTGTGTGTGAGAGAGAGAGTGAGAGACAGCGAGAAAGAGAGTGTGTGTCTGTTCGTGTGTATGTATGTGCGTGTGTCAATCATAAACTGTTTCTTCAACTTATTAAAATATCTTACTTTACTGCTACTATCTGTTTCTGCTTCTTTATTATATTTATAGTGTGTGATTTATAAAATACACTATATCCTTCATCACATATATTGTGTCTGGTCACTTTATATCTTATATCAGAATATTATATTACTGTTAACCTACAATGGATATTAAAATACGCCGAACCATGTGTCCTGTATCACAGCTACATGAATGACCTTTGCAGCAAAAAAAACCCGCGTGAAAATCAGTTAAGTATTCAGTGAGATATGATTAATTTAATGCGCTGACAGCTCATTTCACCTGCCATTCAGAATACACTGAGCGGAGCGGATGACCGGTTTAAGATGGCGGCTCCAATTCTCGTCCGTGCCAATAGGCAGTAGCGGTCGATAGGGCGTCTACCTATATGATGTCTATGGCCGACCCTGTCAAACTAAAACAATGCATGCACTGAGACAAAAATGAATTTGCACACATATCTAAATGTAGGAAAGAATAAGCCATATTTCAAAAAACGGTGGAGTTTTCCTTTAAGTATTTAAAATACTCAAATACACTCCGTCAAAATATTTTGTTACAAACTACATTTTATTTTTTCCACACCTGCAAAATAAAAATTACAAAATACACTAAAGCAATTAAATACGTATTTCAAATGCATTTAATTGAAATACTGCCCATGTCTGCAGAGTGAGACCAAAACCAGACATTATCAGAAGTTAGAGCTCACCTGAGTGTCCATGCTAACACTCGTACACCATAAATACACACATTTCAGAAACATTTTAGAACTTTGACTTTATTAACATTCCATGAATTTGCAATCTTCAAAAAATACAAACATGTTGAGTGTTATTTCCTGACGTGAGAAATGACTGATAGAGCGCGTCTAGTGTGCTCTTCCTCCGCGGGATCAGGATGTAGCCCGTGCTAGCGTCAGCTGTAATGCTTGGATCTCTTGGGGCTGCGACTGCGGTCTCGTCTGTGGCGTTTGTGGTCGCCGTCTCGATCTCTGCCTCGCTCCTTATCCTTAGGTCTCTCTCGGTCTCTTGAACGCGACCGCTGTCTGCCTTTATCTTTTTCTCGACGACTCTCGTCACGATCCTAGAAAACAGGAGAAAAACAAATGATGAGGCACGACACTGAGAAAAAAAAGTGACACCAAGACAGATTTCATTCGGTTAATTCCCCCCGAGATTAACGCGCTGTGTCCAAATACGCCTAAGTCCATATTATATAGTAGGCGGGGAAAAGTATGTTAGCCGAGTAGCATGTGTGGATTCACAGTAGGTGAAAGTGCGCATCCGACGGACAGGATTGGGAATGGAGGAGAAGCGACAACTGAAGATGGTCGGTCACATGATAACGAATATTCCACTCATACTACACATGTACAGTACAGAACATACTTTTATAACGTTTCACAGGAAATACAGTGTGCCGCTGAAGTCCATAAAACATGTAGAGATGAACACTGACATTCCTGGTTGTATTAAAGGGGACATATCATGCAAAATCCACTTTTTTAGCCCTTAAATGCATTTTGTTGTATTTTTGGAGTGTTTATAAGTACAGAAAAGATGAAATTATTCTCTTCAGGTGCTTCGTTTATATCTTTATATTCTGTTTTGGTCATATTTTTCAACCTGTTCAGATTTTTCTGTTTTCTATGACGTTTTTTGAACTACAGCGTCACCGTGTTTGCAGCGGAACTGACAAATAAAGACATTGACTACCGGCCCAACACTTCGAGCAATCCGCCATTATTATTTCTCGCACATTTGTGGTCTATATAAAGCATAACTGCAATGCTTGGGTCTGTATTCCTCATTATTATAGCTCCACAAGCCCCTTTTCTGATGTGCGTCTGTGAGCGACCCGTTTCAATGCGGCCCCTTTAAATAAAAAGGAAATGCGTCACACCCCGCCCGCTCTCCAGGTCCATGAGTTCACGGTCAGTTCAACTCCCCCGTTCGGCCATTATTGTAGTTTGATTAGAGATATACGATTATATACGATACCTTCAAAGAACATTTTTATTCACACGTTAATAAAACGTCAACAACAGAAGACTTGTCCATCAAGCCGAACATATGCGAACGAGTTGATAAAGACGACGACGAACCTGCAGAACAATGTAAGTTAACTGTTCTGTGTTATTAGTGAAAGTCGACTATTTCTCTTGTTAAAACAAGCACACTGACAAGATAAATGACTACGGTCTAATCTTACCAAAAACAATCTGTATCAATTGATAATATGATACGTTTAGAAAAGCAGCTAAATGAGCATTGATGAAACTCAAGAACAATAATACTGCAGACGTGTAACTTTACTTCAAAACAAAAACAAAGAAAGACAAAGGTACTGCTAAACCATGACCACCATGTGTTTTAAGAAAGTAAAGTAATTTATTTTTATTAACGATATTTACAGCTTATCGAAACGCTCTGTTCGTCGCCTCCGAAGATAGAAGGAATTTAACGTTACCTCTCATTCAGACGAAGTCGATCGGCAAACCCTTCTTTATACTGGCGGAGGTTGTTGAAGTGGGAATCCATGAAGTGCTTCAGGTCACTAACGTACATCCAACAACCGAACATTTTGACTTGCCCTCTCGTAACTTCTGCATCATTGAGCTCGGACTACAAAATCGGAGCGAGAAATAATAATGGCGGATTGCTGGAAGTGTTGGGCCGGTAGTCAATGTCTTTATTTGTCAGGTCCGCTGCAAATACTGTGACGTTATAGTTCAAAAAACGTCATCAAGAACAGAAAAATCTGAACAGGCTGAAAAATATGACCAAAACAGAATATAAAGATATAAACGAAGCACCCGAAGAGAATAATTTCATCTTTTCTGTTCTTATAAACACCCCAAATATACAACAAAATGCATTTAAGGGCTAAAAAAGTGGATTTGGCATGATATGTCCCCTTTAAGATACTGCAGACCTGCGTCACACATGCACAGCGTTTATGTCGCACACATTTAAAGCGGTTGTGTTTTATATGCCGTGTGCTCTTGTGTTGTGTGCTGCAGATACGAGCCTGTTGTGATCATTGAGGAAGACACAACAAAGACGATCCAACGAAATGTGCTGATGTTTACCATCCCTTTCTCTCCCGCCTCCTGTGGTCCTGCCTCTGTCTGCTCGTGGGCTGATACAAGTACTGACTTTGTTGTATAAAAGAGTAAAGATTATAGCGGCAGAGTCTGAAGAACGAACAACAGCCACTCGACTATTCAAATCCACAGCATCGTACCTTTGACTTCTTATCCTTGGTCCTTTCGTAATCCGAGTGTCGTTTCCGGTCTCGTTTCTCTCGGTCGTCCTCTTCCTCATCTAAGAGAAGCTCATACCGGGAGCTTTAGGAAACAGTTAAGAAGGACGTACTTGTGGGAAGATTCGTTATCTATTTTTTTCATTAAAATAGCAGTTTTCACAGCTACTGCGATAAGAAAAGCAGGTTAAGAGGTTAAAACCAAAAGATTAAAGCCGTCCTAGTCATTAATGTGTAACGGTTAGTAGGGTTGGGTATCGAAAATCGAGTATCGATTGGAACCGAGACTAACTTTTCGATTTTCCCGGAATCGTTCAAAAGTTAAAATTTTGATTCCTAGTTTTGATATTCACAGTCCGCCGAGCGGAAGAAGAAACCGCTTAACAACACCAACGAAGAAGCGTCTACCGGAAGTGTTGGCATAACCACGCGAGTCGAACATGAGTAGCTTACGTCGGCGATCCAAAGCGTGGCTTCACTTTTCTAAAAATAACGAAATCTCGGCAAAATGCAAAATTTGTGACAAAAGGAGTATTTTTACAGGAGTATTTCCTTCAGAAAGGCCGTTGGTTAGCAAGGTTAGCTAAACTTTTTTGACCCTGCTTCTTAAAAGAATCGGAATCGAGAATCGTTAGGAATCGGAATCGAAACAAGGAATCGGAATCAGAATCAGAATCGATACGAGAATCGATTTGGGTATTCAAACGATACCCAACCCTAACGGTTAGATCAATAACATGAGCTCCTTGTCAGGGTGATGTCCTGATGACTAAACCCGAGCCGTCTCTGCTGTAGATTGGACTGTACAGGGATCATCAGAAGGATACTCCTGCTTGCTTTTGACTTTGTCTTTCAAAGCCAGTTTGGATTTGTTGTCCAGGTCTTTCTCATAGGCCTTGAAGTCATCTTTGGTGTACTTCCCACCTAGAAATGAAACATACTGACTATAAACATATGTATTACTTAAATGCACAACACATTAAAGGAGTCATTCACTTTTCAAAAAACTTGTGCTGATAATTTACTCATCCAAGATGTCCATGTCTTTCTTTCTTCAGTCGAAAAGAAATGAAGGTTTTTGATGAAAACATTCCAGGATTTTCTCCATATAATGGACTTCAATGGGGTCCAGACGGTTCAAGGTCCAAAAGAAACTTTCAGTGCAAACTGTTCAAAGGGCTTTAAACGACTCCAGACGATGAATAAGGGTCTTATCAAGCGAAACGATCGCTCATTTTTTTTTAAAAAATAACAAAGTTTAAGTTTTATAAGATCAAATGCTCGCCTTGCTCTGTTCTGTGATGCGCGTTCGTGACTCTCCTGTTCGAACTCGTTCATCAAAATGAACAAATCTTTTTCCGAATCATTTTGTTCGTTTCTTTCGCCGAATGAACCAAATGACTCGTAAAAAGATTTGTTCATTTTGATGAACGAGTTCGAACAGGGGTGCGTTACAGAACAGAGCAAGGCGAGCATTTGAGCTTATAAAACTTAACCTTTGTTATTTATTTATTAAATGAGCGATCATTTTGCTTGATAAGACCCTTATTCATCGTCTGGAGTCGTTTAAAGCCCTTTGAAGCTGCACTGAAACTCTCATTTGGACCTTAAACCGTTTGGTTCCCATTGAAGTCCATTAAATGGAGAAAAATCCTGGAATGTTTTCATCAAAAACCTAAATTTCGTTTTGACTGAAGAAAGAAAGACATGGACATCTTGGATGACATGGGGGCGAGTAAAAGTCTTTTTTCAAAAGTGAACTACTCATTTAAAGGGATACTTCACCTCTGGAAAGATGAATGTGTATTTAAAATGGGTAATTTATGTAGAAGAATTGCGAGTCTCGACTGAGAAAATGTATTCCTGGCTTATGTGGAAAGACAACAACTCCCAGAATGCACTTCCTTCGCTGCCCTAGGAGGCCACGCCCACCGGTAACAGATCGCAGTCGTTAAACAACAAGTCTCCGTCTCGTATCTCTCACGGAGGAGCGGGAATTTTTTTAGCCATGTTAAAACGCACATCAACCGATCACTTGTTTAGTGTTCATGTAAACACTACATTCAGATCCACCAATAGGAATGATTTCAGTTAGACTGAAACAAAAGCTGTGCATGTAAACAATGAATGGCGACTGCAGAAAGCAAAAGCTGAATCCCGGACATCGACGGCCGGACATGTCCGGGGAAAAGAGGACGGTCACCCCGACTACTCAGCTTTCTCCACAGAACAAGAGCCTGCTAGCTTAGCTTCCAAAACAAGATGGCCGACACTATGTGTTCATTCTGTGAGTGAGATCGCCCTCTATGGGTCGGTTGAGGACATGCGGGACAGACCTCTGCACAAAACATCCTCCGATGACGCAAAATGACGATTTTTTGTGTCATCTGAGGATTTCTTCCAGACAAAATATACATAAATCTCTCGTCTCAGGGGGATATGAGGGTGGAAAGCACGGTAATTTCTAATACAAAGCTTAATGCTAAATCCTGAAATATCCCATTAACACAACTAAACTGATTAACATTGCAGATAAACAATAATGACTGAGCAGCACCACAAAAAAAAAAAAAAAACGTACACACTCAATTGAGGAGGATACATTTTTTTTTTCGGTAAGACGACATGCGCATAAACTACGATGGAAACACATTTACAGAATAAATCCCTCAATGCAACAAAAACTCGAGTGACTTTGCCTCAGCAAAGGCTGTGATTGGATAAAAGGAGTATCCAGCGGACCAATCGCATCTCAAATGTTGGTTTGGCGGTTCTGAAACGCCCGAGTCAAAGTCTGTCATGAGAGTGATTTGGTTTAATTAGGCATTTTCCAAACTATCGGTATCTGCAGTTATAATGGCCGATAAATGAATATTTCAACAATAAAATAAAAACGGACGAAACACGCTTGACAAACACGTTTGTCCACCAGAGGGCACTCTACACCGTTCCTGTTGGCAACACTCGTTGAGTTGGGCACGATACATACATTGCTTGAATAACAATTAAAAGAACATCCCCATCAGTGCTTTTTAAAATGCATTATCATATTATTTTAGTTAAAACTCATAACTAATGTTAGGGAAATCTGTTAATGTTGTGTTGCGCGTTTCTGAAATAAAAAAAATAAAAAATAAAAATATCGGATTTTAAAACCAACAAATATTTGTATCGGTATCGGCCTTTAAAATCTTTTATCGGTCGGGCTCCAGTTTCTTTCCCGATTGCAGGAACGTTTTGGTGCCGATTTCCCAGGAAATGACTATTTTAAACGCTGCTTTATACGATATTGTTGCACAACTTTAAATGGAAACATAGCTAATAATTATATTTCTATTACTTTACAGGGTGTGCGTTTAATGAGCACGACAGACTTACCTTTGCCTTTCCATTTGATCTTAGACACAGACTGGCTGAAGTCCACATGAATGCGACGGTCGTCTATCAGCACGTTGTCCATTTTGAAGTACGCTTTTTCACAGTCCTCCTCCTTATTAAATAATATACACAAATGCATTGATAATTCCATGTATACGACCATTTGATGACCTCCCAGAGTAACCCACTTAAATCATTTTCAAAAATTCAAAAGCCCATTGGACACACAATAAACCCTTTTTTAGAGTAAAGATACGGCAGAAATACAGAACAGAGACCTTTTAATTTTGCTTAAAAGTGTCCAGAAGCTGTAGAGGACAATTAGTAACCTTGAGTCAAACAAACACACAGATTCTGAGATGTTTATATCGTATCTACAGCGGATGGAACCCATTATAATCTGAGGACGGGGAGCGACGAGAGAGACAGCGAAGCCATCTGGATCTTGACATGTTCAGTGTTTAATCTATCTAACCGGATTTCATTAGAAACTTTACCAACCTTGTCAAACTCGATGAATGCATAGCACAGAGATTCTCCTGTTTTCCAGTCTCTGATGATCTCACAACTGCAAATGAACATTAACATGTTAGATCAAAGCCAGCAGACAACACACATCTACACACACTGTAACGTACCCAACAGAAGAGACTAGAAGTTTGATGTGTGTGTGCCTATGAATATCACACACCGATGCCCCTGAACAGCATTGCACTAAGACTCAGGCCCAGGCTATGGTCGGAGCCGAATACTAGCATACTATTAATCGCACGCGGGACATCCCGCCTGTGTGATGCTATACGCCAAGATAAGCACTTCAAACAACAGTATGCTACATCTGTTATCACAAGCACATGTTTAATTAGCAGTATGTGAATGGTTCATAAGCGTCTTTAACCCTCTGGGGTTCTTCGTTTAACAGTCACACTCGGAACTTCGGGTCAAAATTGACCCAAAGGGCGGGATTCATATTTAAAAAAGAAAATCATAATTTTTAAAAACTTTGAGATTTTTGGTGTTTTGAGAAAATTTCAAAAATTGATAATTAGTATAATGCAATTATTATGACCAAATTTCCTCCATTGAATATAATAGAAAAAAATATTTAATTTTTTTTTTTTTTTTTTTTAAAGCTGTATTTCATTTTAGAGTCAAGCCTAGGCCTCATAAAAGCAATTTTTGAAATGAGATGGATGCCATCTGGTGGACAAACTGAGCATTTTAAAAAGGCAAAACACATGTATAATCTGAATTTTTTGGTGTGTTTGTGTGTGTGTGTGTGTGTGTGTCTGTTTTGCACTCTTGATGTTTTATAGATTCACCCCTTCACTGTTGTGTGCTTTTTTCAAGATCGTTGCTGATTTGTAGATTGTACGCACAAATTTTTTTTCCACATTTTTGCCAATTTCCGATTCATTACCTATGCGGGTCATTTTTGACCCGAACCTGAGTGTGACTATTTTTTTACGACCACTTCGACTTTTCAAATCCTGTCCCCAATTTTTTTGGGTGTTCATATACCAAGTACCATTAAAGTCACCAAGTTTCGGACCATTCCGATGAAGCTAGGATTTTTAACATTTTTTTATTTTAACACTTCAGGTCATTATTGACCCGAAGAACCCTAGAGGGTTTTAACCACAGATTTCCGTGACTTTTCGGCAAATAATCATGACCTAAAGTAAAATAATAAAAATCCATGTTCAAATTTATCATAGCATATATGAACTAACATGAATGTCTATTAATGTCGTTTTTAATAATAATTGTAGTACAATTTGCAACTGTGCCAGATGTTACTCTAAGCAGAGAACAAAAGGACACTTGACAAAGCCTGAATGCTAAGCATTGTAATGTCTTTGAAGAAAGAATAAACCCAGAAACATTTGGAAGAGTCTCTGTTTAATTGATAATATTGGTTAAACAATGTCCAGGCCTGAAAATTGCTATTTTAAACATGTTCATGACTGTACGAACCCAGTATCTAGTCACGAAGTTGGCCTAGTTTTTTTTAATCACACCAAATATTATTATCCAGCTCATCTGTCACATTTGAAATAGAAGGTCACAAAGCACATTGCATTGTGGGATACAGTATTCCACACAGTGTGCTTGGTTGCATAACGCACATCTGGGCATGCCATGCATACAGAAAATACTGCGTGTGCTTTACATGCTGCCTGCTGCTAAAACAGTCCCCGATGAATGTATTGCCGGCTTAACCCTCAGCCCCCTCTCAATCAAAAGAAAGATGATTTACATAATAATAATAAAAAAAGAAACACATTCACACATGGCATAGTCAAATACAACTAAAATACGTTTACTGTGTTTATTCACTTCAAATCTGTAATAGCAAAGTTATGGTGACACTTAACTCACTATTAACTATTTGCTTATTATCATGGATATTAATACTTATAAAACACATATTAAAGGGATAGTTCACCCAAAAAATGAAAATTCTGTCATTAATTAGTCACCAAACAAATTAGTTCCAAACAAATAAGACATTCGCTCATCTTCAGAACAAAAATGAAGATCCTTTTGATGAAATCTGAGAGCTTTCTGTCCCTCCATTACCTGAACAACTACCACTTTGATGCTTCAAAACGTTCATTAAAACTTAATCCATATGAATTAAGCGGTTCAGTATAAATTTTCAAAAAGGGACGCCATCTTTGTTACAAGACGCTTTATATGATGAACAATTTAATCCACATAAAAACATTGATCAGTGAACAAACAGAAGCTCAGACAAATCTCCTTGAAGTGCCAGAACAAACCTCTCGCTGAAGCTCAAACGTGATGCGTAACACGAGGATGAACCTCATTGGTTCTCGCATTAGCTTTTGTTTATTACAAGTGCTTTGCGAGTTGATAAATGTTTATGTTCATCGTATAAAGCAATCATGTCTTTTCAGAACATTTGGACTAAACCACTCAATTCATATGGATCAGTTTTATGATCTCTTCATTAACGTTTTGTTTTGAAGACGAACAAAAGTCTTACAGAATTGTCGTGTTTGGGTTAACTATACCTTTGATGTCTTATTCTGCATCCCTCAACCCTACCCAACACCTAAACTTAACTACCTTACCTTACTAACTATTAATAAGCAGTAATTAGGAGTTTATTGTAGGGATGCACCGATATGAAAATTTTGGCCGATACCGATAATTCTTTATATTTGAAAGCCGATTACCGATATATCGGCCGATAAACTCAAATCCAAATATGCATCTAATTTTAGAGCCTGATTACAAAAGTCTCACAATTAAATCCATGTCCCAAGCGCACGATTATAATGATGTTCTCATTATAGTGTTGTATAGCCGATATGACAGGTTTGCGCTGCACATGTTGTACCGAACCGTATTTTCATTTTTTGAAGAGATTTCAATCCTATTTCAAGAAATTCAAAAACATAAACAGCTGAAGGGAATAATAGATCATTTATCGGCTTTAATATATCGGCCACGTTTTCTTACCAGGCCGATAACGATAACATTAAAAATGAACATATATCGGTCGCTATCGATATGCTGGCCGATATATCGTGCATCCCTAGTTAAAAGTCATAGCTAATAGTGAGTATTGAACCCTAATGTACTGTGTAATGAGTTTTTATTTAATGACAGATCACTCATATATAAAACAAGAAACGCACCACTAACTAAAAGTGCTTTAAGACCACAAAAGGTAAAGGTCCTTGGATCAACCCTTGCAGAGGATCAAAAATGTAATCTTTCAGTTCCCAGCCCTAAATTTCACTCGCAATCTTTATCCACAACGACGAGTGAGAGATTATCTATCATTGGAACTAATACAGCAGTAAAATATTGTATTATCTCACCATTTAATGGAGCCGAAACGTGAGAAGATGATCTCCAGATCTTCATCTGTGGTCACAGGATTCAGTTTACACACGAACAGCACGTTCTCTGGAGGCTTGACTTCTGCATCTGGCAGATCACCCACCTTTCAACACGAAGAAAACATTCACATGTTTAACAGCATGAGGTGATCAGTAAAACATGTCTGAAGTGATCAACTTTACCATCTCTAGTAAAATGGCTTGTGTCTTTGCTTCCTTGTCTTTTATCAGTTCATCCAGCTGCTCAGCATCTTCATCATCATTGTTTATGGCCTCGTCTGCCCCGATCCGACCACTCTAAAACATGTAAAGCATGGATCATTCAATCTAAAATCAATAACAAAGCACATTTATAAACACAAAACACATCACCTGCTCTTTCTGATTTGAATAGCACCCCACACACACACACACCTAGCACTGCAATAATAATAATAATTCATATGCTTATATTAGCATTAAACCACTACATTTAAAGGGTTTGCAAGTGAACATATAAAAAGTTTAATATTCAACATAATAATGTAAATGTTTTACACACAATTATAAAATAATCAGGTCATGTATTTCTTAGGAACTGAACCCATTGCTTATTTTATAGGGCTGTGCAAAAATTAATTGCGATTAATCACATCCAAAATAAAAGTCTGTGTTTACATGTACATATTTAAGAAAATGAGTTATTCATATATAAAATATTTATATTTATATAATATAGATTTTGTATTCATATATATATATATATATATATATACAGAATTTAAGCGCAAATAATTCTTACATATATACATGCATGCATTTATATATACAAAATAATTATATACAGCACACACAAATATATTATGTAAACACAGACTTTTATTTTGGATGCAATTAATCGCAATTCATTTTTGCACAGCCCTATAATTTTATAATACTTAAAATGTCTTTATTATGCTATTTTAAAGGCTCCTAATTTTGTTTTGGAGTCTCCTACATGTTTACACGCATTCAAGGTCAAAAAACGCTTTAAATTTCACCATAATCATCATAATTTCATTTTTTCTCAGTGTCTGAAACAGAAAGGAGGGGTTTAGAAAGCCTCCTCCACTCTGATTGGTCAGATGGTGTTGTTCGCGGGCAGCCAATGAAGATCATAGGCTGGAATTATGCAAATGTGTTACCAAGTAGAAGGTTCAAGCAGAAAAAATAAAACTCGTTGGTATTACTGACTCGTTTCATGCACTTCAGAATCAGATCGATAGCTATTTATCTGCATTTTCATCTTTGAAACTTTGGGGAGAAAAAAAAAATCATCAAGCTATTTTGAAACACATGATCCTTTTCTTTTAGTGCGGCTCATACCCAAACTAAAAAAAACATTACTTTCTTTCCAAACTGGATTCATTATTAATGAGAGGAGGTGGACCAACACATTTAACTGAATTGGGAAATCATTGTTTACTACTAGCGGACTCTGCATGCTAATTTTAGGATTTTTTACAAACTAAGTTGTCATAAATCTGTCAGTATTGTAATTTAGTGAGCTTGAATGAAGACACTCACGTCCAGCTGCTCTTTAGTGGGTTCAGGCGATCGGTCTGGAACCGGGAGGCCCGGGGGATCGTCAAACGGGTCATCCAGAATCACCGTGTGATTAATCCTGCAAACACAATGTCAAGAAACTTAATTTTTCGCCCTAAAATGAAAAAAAAAAAAACGAAAGGGGTAACACTGTCGTTTTTTTTTCGGCTCGAAATTTTTAATTTTGATATCTCAGCTCTGGAAGGGTCTAGATCCTCAATTTTTGCACTCAGGTCAAAGTCTCGTGGCCCTCTATCAGAATCCAGAGTTTTGAGAAGATTGGAGAAACTTATTTTTTCGCCCGAAAACGAAAAAAAAAAAAAGGGGTACCACTGTCGTTTTCTTTTTCAGGGTCGAAATTTTGAATTTCGATATCACAGCTCTGGAAGGGTCTAGAGCCTCCATTTTTGCAAAGTCTTGTGGCCCTCTATCAGAATCCAGAGTTTTGAGAAGATTCGAGAAAACACAATGTCAAGTCACCTTTATTTATACAGCGCTTTTTACAACCACCCTCAGTAAGGCAGATCAATAATATTGTTGAATATTAAATGTCCCCAACTAAGCAAGCCAAAAGCCAAGGAAATTGAACTGGAAAAAGTGAGTTAATACAATGAAGGAGATTAATTTAACCATCAGAAACTCAAAATTATATGTTATCTGAACTGAATAAATTATTTAAGTTGATTTGACAAAAGAAAAAATGTTGTGATTACTACACTGTAAAAAAAATATTGTTGGTTTAACTTAAAAAAGTAAGTAACCTGGGTTGCCTTAAAATTTAAAGTTGATTTAACTGGAAAACGTGAGTTAATACAATGAAGGAGATTAACATCAGAAACTCAAAATAATAAGTTATCTCAACTAAATAAATTATTATAAAGTTGATTTGACAAAAGAAAATATGTTGCGATAACAAATCTTGAAAATATTTTTTACAGTGTATCTGATGAGCACAAAGCAGCCCTTGTGTCTATGAATCTGGACCACCCAAACCTCAAAACTATGAGGAAATCTAAAGTGTGGGAATTTGTGTACTGTGAAACACACTCGTATAATTGGCGTCTATGTTTGTGCCTTCCAGACACGGGCAGTCAAAGGGTTTTCATTTGTGAGTCATTGAATTATTCAACTGATTTGATCAAAACACTTGATTCATTCTGGAACGCCACTACTGTGTGTAACATCATCCAAATAAAGCCACGGCAGAATTAAGAGTAAATGGCCACACTGTGTTTATAATGAAAACCGTCCCCGATATTGTCACATGTCACACTCATGCTGTAACTGAGCCAGGTCTAACTTGTCAATCATGTTTATTAATACTCAAAACAAAAGCACTCATTCGTGTGATATTGCTTAATGTATATTTTTTAATACATAAAAACAACACAGATTCTTCCGATTTGTGTGAAGACGCAAACAAATAGCTGAATCATGGTTTTGAATCCATCACTGAAATAGACTTGAATGATTCACAGAAACTCAAACACCATTTCATCAACTAAAGCTTAAACCAGCTAACCGGCACGAAAAGCGATCAGGCAGCATTGGTTTGGTTTTTGTGTTATTTAGCGGTGAAAATGAATTATACCAAAATAATACAGCAAATTAATCTGAATTATTTCACGGTCCATCCAGAAAAACCATCCCGTTTTTTTGGTGATTGTTGCGGGCAAAACTCCTTGAATATGCGTCCCGCTTTCTTCAAACATGTGATGGATAATGCGGGATATTTATGCAGTTTAATCTGGTGAAATTGCGGGAACTTGCAAAAAAAAAAAGAGAAAAACAAGCGATTCCCCAACACCGTTCTCACTCGGCTCCTGCCTTAATATAACGAGTTATTTCTTATTACTTCTTATGATAAGCAAGCATACATCACAGTTACTTTGTTTTATTTCAGACCTTAATAAACACATCAAACTTACAAAACACTGATGAGTCAAACACGTTCTGTAGCTTTACAGAAGGAATATGCTATAACTTCTGTACAAATCAATAAATAAAATATAAGAAAATAAAAGTGTGCTCCTGTTTTACAGCTTTTCGAATTACGTCACTTCATTACGTTCCCATGGCAACAGGTTACGTCACTTCATAATGTTCCCATGGCAACAGGTTACGTCACTTTATAACGTTCCCATGGCAACAGGTTACGTCACTTCATAATGTTCCCATGGCAACAGGTTACGTCACTTCATAATGTTCCCATGGCAACAGGTTACGTCACTTTATAACGTTCCCATGGCAACAGGTTACGTCACTTCATAATGTTCCCATGGCAACAGGTTACGTCACTTCATAATGTTCCCATGGCAACAGGTTACGTCACTTTATAACGTTCCCATGGTAACTAACAGGTTACGTCATTTCATAATGTTCCAATGGCAACAGGTTACGTCACTTCATAATGTTCCCATGGAAACAGGGTACGTCACTTCATAATGTTCCCATGGCAACAGGGGGAAATGATTATTCTCTCCTGTGAAGCAAACGCAACATTTCTCAACTTTCTGCTACGATATACGTGACTTTTTTGCAACGAAAATGCGAGGATTATGAAATCATGCAAGCCCCGCATATTCTGCATGGAAATCAGCAATTTAAGCGGCGGAAGTGTGGCGTATTTTAAAAAACGCTCCCGCATAAATATGCTGACTTTGGCTGATTATGCACTCAATCATGCGATCGCATAATCACGTTTAACTGGAGGGGCTGATTTCATGGATATTTCTCAGTTCACCTTGTAAATAACTAGTTTACTTGCAACTAAGTGCCTCGGAAAAAACGTAGCATCTTCCAAAGGTCTCAAGTCACCAAAGCTGGCATTTTCCAACAGGAACACATCCACGACATTTACATGTACACCGATAATGCCATTATTCCCAATAATCAGAGTAAGAACTGAGTCACAGCAAGATGTTTACGTGACGTGGATTTTCATTATATTCTGATTATTTGCTAAGAAGTGTGGTTATTTTTACCGCCATTCTACAAATGGTGAACTCACATACAGTAAGTGTGTTACTGGTCCTTGTTTTAATCCACTTTCATCAAACGCAAAACACATTTGACGTACTGGAAGGTTATTCGTCGTCGTGATGAACACTGCAGTGCCGCTGTAACTGGGTTAGCCTACGCTGCATTGCTTTCTTCACACACTCTCTGGATGAAGACGGAGCAGAGACTGCGAGTCAACACAGTTTAGCGATTCAGAGTGGAGGGAAAACTTCAGAATAATGTTACGGAGTTCATTCATGAAGTTGTGTGAACAACACACGTCATCCGTGTACATCTAAGCACATGCGCAGCTTGAGTGTACGCCACATAGTTTAATGCGAGTTTAGTTACTATGATTATGAGCGTAATCACATTGAATATTTCTCAAAGCATTGTGTTCACGTGAAGTAACGTTTCATTGCATTATCGCCAAAATCCCATTATAATCGCATGAGGGTGCATGTAAACATGCTTACTGACTTTCTCTACTTGATTTATTTATTAAATAGTCATAGTTATTAAATATTGATGACTCTGCATACCTGTTCTCATACACTTACAAAAATATTTGATATCTTTCATAATAAAAAAATAATATAACAAATGTGATCTTTCTCTCTCTAAAAACACTTAGTCCTACCTGATGTCCTGAAAGGGGATGAAGTCGTTGTCAACAAAGGTCTCGTTGATTTTAGCGAGCACGTCCATGCCCTCTGTGACCTCTCCAAACACAGTGTGAACACCATCCAAATAATCCAGATTCTCCCCTGAGGTGATCAGGAACTGGGAGCCAAAAGAAAGTCACACACTCAAACACTGACATCCACATCCACATCCACACGGTGCATTAGATATACGTGCACAATTAACCTGAGAGCCGTGCTGGTCGCTGCCGTTGTTCACCATAGACACCGTCCCTTTCTTTCTATGCTTGATCCTGGGCACCTTCTCGGACTCAAAAAAGCGTGCCTGATCGCCATACAGCTTACTGCAAACACACACACATCACCATCACACAACGCATGTGTATCCGGTCAGCACAAAAACACAACAACATGAACCTGATGCTTACCAGAACACAGACTCTCCTCCTCGGCCCGTGCCGGTGGGGTCTCCCGTCTGAACGATGAAATCTCTCTGGACCGGGTCGAGAACACATGCAACAACATTACTGCCAACAGTCAGATGTGCAGTGATAACTACAGTAGAAATATTCATTAACTTATCCTCCTACAGTAATCAAATGTTGCCTTGAATTTATTAAATGAATGTGATTCTATGAAAACAATGTAACTTTCAGAACTAAAAACTTCAGTCTCGATTTCTTATAACGTTCATGGTTTGAACGATATAACACACACAAAATGCACACCGAATGTAAGACATACATATATATATATATTACCTGAACATTGTGGATCAGACAATAGTTGTAATATTTGATTTTGCACAGTTTCAGGAAGTTCAGCGAGGCTGGAAAATTACAAGCACAATTCTGGTTATCAATCAGTACATATTAATAACATATCATGATATCATGTAGTTGGTTTAGTACTCTTCTAGTGAAACGTTAAATATTATAACAACTAGAATTCTGGTCAAACATGCAAATTATCACGAAATTAACGTTATCAAGTTAAAAAGTTGAGATTTCTTATATTTATTACGACGTTTTGTTGATTGTCTTAAAAGAACTAGCATTAGCATTAGGTGTAATCTTGCTAGCACTTGCAGTGCAAATATTTTGAAACTTTTCGCCTGTCATTAATGTTATTATTAATTACCTTTCGGTCTCTCTTCTGTGTATAAATCAATCACGATATCTCCTAGCGTTGTTTCCAATAACACCGCCATGTCGTTTCAATCTCATCGACATGCGCCTGACGTACACCCCACATGCGCACTGAGAACAGTCGCAGATAATAACGTCACTTCTTTGAGACAGGCGGCAAGAGCAACATCGTACCATGTGCTTCCTTATACAACTTTTCATATTACTTGGAAAATATCACATTCATGTGAAAAAATGGGCTAAAGCTAAGCCAAGCTTTGAACACTTTATGAAAGAGATTAAACTATATGGTAATTCATTAGATAAAATTAAGAACAAAAAAGCAAGAAAGACCTATGAAGTATTTTGTAACTTTAAATTATTGTAACTTTACCCCTGGCATGATTTTTTCTCTCTCTTTTTTTTTTCTCCTTTATTTTCTATTTGTTGTGAGCTGTATTGTCATGTAAATCTCTTTGTATATTCTATGTTGCAATAAAAAATAAAAAGCAACATTACTCGTATCTAAGGACATTTTTTTGGAAAGATTTGATTAGATTTATTAAGTGTGTAAAGTAAACCCACTTTTTTTGTGTGTTTAGAACATTTTTGTTTCACTAAGATCCCTTAAAAAAGTAAGAATACTATATGTTATATCTTTTATTTACATTTTTGCTATTCATAGACATGTAGATAGGCTAATTGTAACTGCTAAATGCAAAGGTCATAGCAGCAATTCCTTACAGGCTTTAAATACATCAATCTAGACAAATCCTGTTCACCACAGTGGTACTGATCTCTAGATTCACTTTCCTAGACTCCTCATCCTGCCTCATTTATTATAAAAAACTCTTTACACACTCTATAAAGACTGCGAAGTCTTAAAGTAAAGTCTTAAAACTATAAAACACCAAAAGAATAAGTTCCTTTCTATGTGATACGAATAGCAGGCTGTGGAAAGATGTGTATATTTTTTTAGTTGACAAAACCCTTCCAGATTTTAAAATGAATGAATGAATGTCTCTTTATTTGACATGGACATACAATTACATTGGACAGAGACAGACCATATGCATTTGTTTTCTAGTGATTATAGAATACATGCTAATTTTCATCACCTGTCCACAGGTGGGCTTTTAAAAGAAAGTACAATAACTAGAAAAAAATAGAAAAATAAATAAATAAGTGATCAGAATCAGGAAGTAAAAGAAACATCAAGTATCAGAATCAGAAGTTATTAGTAGTATGCTATAGTATACATGTGAGCAATGTTGTTAAGTTTTTAGCCATTTTTTCAATCCCCTATTAAAAGCATTGCCAAGATATCAACAAAAAAATCATCATTGTTTATTTAAAGTATGGTTTATGATTTGTATATCAACCTATAAGTTCAATTTCTCACAGCCTACATGAAAACCTCCAACAAATAGGCTACCAGTTTTTACTTAATATGAACTAAGAATAAGTAATACTTCCACAGCATTTATTCATCTTAGTTAATATTTGATAGCATTATTCAAATAAAATGTTGTATTTGTTAACATTAGTATCCAACATGAACAAACGTTGAACCACTGTATTTTTATTAACTAATATAACAAAGATTAATAAATACCGTAACAAATGCATTGCTCATTGCTAGTTAATGTTAGTACATTAATGTTAACAGATTAAACCTTATTGTAAAGTGTTACCAGTTCATGTTATCTTTTTAAGATATTTGTTTAATACCGAGGGGTTTATTTGTGATTGTTTTAAAATCATTTTTAGATATTTTTTATGATGCATTTGTATAATAAAAACGAACAGTTTTAGTTAATAATAACAAGCCCAATGATTTAATGGTATTAGATGATTCATTAAATGCATGTGAAAGATTTTACTTCCAATAAATGGATGTTTGGCCTGAGTTTCTGTTGCATTTCCACTGTTCTGACCAGCAGGGGTCACCAGCGTGTGGCGTTTTGAACGCTTCGAAACAGTGAATCATTTTGATTCGCTGATAGATTCACTTTGATTCACACAAACAAAGCTTTTCAAAGCTTTGAATCAATTGAACGGCAAAATGATTCACTGTTAAAGCGTTCGAAGCACCTCACGCTGGTGACCCCTGCTGGTCATAACAGTGGAAGTGCAACAAAAACTCAGGCCAAACATGCTTAAAACAACCTTTTACAAACCAATTGCCAACACTAGCTTGAAAGTATTTTTCAAGAAACTATATTTTTCTGGGTCGCTTTATCAGCAGCTTCCACGGTAAAGTCTGAGCTTGTACAAGGTGTTTGGCCTTCATAAAGAAAAAGCCTCCCCGTCGGGGAATCGAACCCCGGTCTTCCGCGTGACAGGCGGAGATACTGTCCACTATACTAACGAGGACTGGCCGATGAAGCTGTGTCTCTGCACTGCTTTGATAAGTCACTTCATACTAAATATGCTTTCCATTATGGGAGTGATTGTTATTTAATCCTTTTATTTTGGCCAAGGGGGGCAGGAAGAGGAGCTCTCCCTCTCCTATAGAGGAATCCACCTGCAATCCAAGGAGATGAAGAGTTTGTTCATTTAGCGTCCAGGAAGTTCCTAAAAATCTTGAGTTCCCATTCGAGAGCGGTAACTTCAACATTGTGGGAACTCCTCCCTTCTCCGCTTTTGTTGAAATCGTATAGGTTTATGCCAGCTTGGAACAGCTGGCCAACTGTTGTGAAGTATGCAAATACTGACAGGCTCAGGGACGTATAAAATGTATGGGAGCGACAATTGTGTCAGAATCTCTTTCTTCACGCTGTCATTTTTGAAGTTGCACCTGAGGACTAGTTTCCTTTTCTTCCTCGTATCCGATGGCTAACCTTTGCAAGATTTGTGTGGGCCCCATCGACCCGCCCGACACCTATGAGTACTGAGTGAGCCTGCCTGGGCCTGGCCCTCGCCAAGGCGGCCTTCTTGGACTCCACATGCACTGCACCGACCTGCCGGTGTGCACTTAAGAACCATTAGGGTTTTTGCTTATGCTATTACAAGACCCACTGCCGCCAGCGAGCCGCTGGTGGGCCCTCCCCCACCCAGAAATGAGGCCTGGGGCTGTCATCCTCTACTGTCGCCATGTTCCACCGGTCCTTTTCGTGGATGTGCTGGACTCGACGTGGAATGCCCCGGACGAGCCTACCTAGAGTAAGTTGGATTCCTGGTATCTCCAGTCAGGCTGAGAAGGAGGACTCATTCTTCCATGATGTCCACGAGCATGTGGTGGGGTCGTAATCAGCACCCCAATCTGTGTGCATGGCCGTCTTCTCCCTGTGTTACGGGGCGGAAGCTAATAGCTATATGCCCTCCAGTCAATGAGACCGTCACCGTGCACCTGATCCCATCCTTTAGTTTCTGGGCACGGATCTCAGCCTGCAGTCCATGCCGTGCAAGTTCACGGTTCATCTGTCTGACAAAGCCTATGCTTCAGCTAGTGCAGCTCTCTGCATTTCGTGAAAGACCTGCGCACGGCAACGGACTTCACACTCATGGTTACAAACCACTCTGCCTAAAGTGGTTGACATCATGGGCTTAATGGTCGTCCTTAACAGGTACCTGTAGTTAACCCTAGCTGACCTGAAGATACGGACTGCGGACTGCTTGGTGACGCCGTGGTTACTGAGCGTTTCTCTGAGGCGCAAGTTCCAGCCGCAAGTTGCTCGTTCCAGTCCTCGTCAAGGTCTCACTCTTCGTCGGCACCTCGCCCCCCCCAGGATCCGCTGCTACTCCTCACCCTGAGCTGTATGTTTACCATAGGCAGTGGACGGGACCGAAGCCCGAGCCGCTATGGCACGCCGTCCTCAGCTACCAAGCCTCCGTCCTGACTGACCATCCGAGAGAGTTCGGTGGAGGCTCCGCAGTGTTCTGCATCATGTCCCCCCTGTTCCTGACGGCAACGTTTGCAATGCTTGTGTGAATGCTGTATGAGTAAATTATGAAATTTTAGTGGGATTACATATTGATATGATAAACAATCTTATTAAAAGTAATATAACTTGACTGTGAAACATAGATAGATAAAATGACTCATATAATGATATAACATTTATCTCATGTAGTTGGTGACCTAAAGTACACTGCAGTAACTCATAGCCCCGGGGCCCAGTGAGCTCTTAATGCGGCCCTGGACCTGCTGCTAATGTTAAAACAGTTGTTACGCTACCGCTGTTGACACTGTGTTTTTCTTTCATGCATTGAGAGCTTATTGTGTTGTGTCTGCCCTAGTTTCAGTGCAGCCTTCGCTTTCATTGTGTTGAATATGCAAAGTTTAATGGGTCGGAGCTGATGTTTCATTGATCTAGCTTCGCCTATCAGATGCGAACACTCATTGGCTGACTGTCTTTCTCTCTCATGGCTGGTGTAGCTTGGCCTCACTTTCTCTGGCTTTATCTTCACTACTCTCACAGCGGATTTAATACAGTCCCCGCAGTGCCATACCTGACACAATGTTTTAGTTACTGCTCTCAAAAGGGAACGTCTCCGGTTACTATCGTAACCTCGGTTCCCTGAGAGGCCGGAATGATATATTGGGTTAGCCGTCGTGTTTGCTGTTCGACTAGCTGTGCAAGCGTTTAGTCGTGATTCTGACCCAATTGTCATGCCCGTGCATTTTATACTGCTCGTGAGCCTTTCAGAATTTGCATACTTTGCAAAAATTGGCCAGCTGTTCCAAGCCGGCATAAACCTATAAGATTTCAATAAAAGTGGAGAAGGGAGGAGCGTCATTGCTGAGACAATGTCTCGTTCCCGCCTCTCAGGAAAGCGAAGTTACTATAGTAACTGGAGACGTTCTAGAAATCCACGCATAAATCTTTTGCCTTTTACTAAAAATTTCCGTGGAGGGAACATTTGTGAATTTCTGGGATTTTGTACGCTCTGCTCACAACAGAGCTACTTGTGTTTGTTCAAAAGCAGGGGATGTTTTGTGTCTTGCTGTGAGTTCCTCAAGTGTGCACCGGCAGGTCGGCGCAGTGCATTTGGAGTCCAAGAAGGCCACCTCGACGAGGCCCAGGCCCAGGCAGGCTCACTCAGTACTCATAGGTCTCATATTCCAAGCTGGCGTAAGCCTATAATATTTCAACAAAGTGGAGAAGGGAGGAGTTCCCGCAGCGTCACAACTGACGCAGTGTTGAAGTTACCGCCTCTCGAAAGGGAACTCAAGATTTTTATGAACTTCCTGGAAGCTAAATGAACAAAACCTTCATCTCCTTGGATTGCAGGTGGATTCCTCCATAGGAGAGGGAGAGCTCCTCTTCCTGCCCCCCTTGGCCAAAATAAAAGGATTAAATAACAATAACTCCCATAATGGAAAGCATATTCAGTATGAAGTGACTTCTCAATGGTTGAACATACAAAACAGTGCCAGAGACACAGGAGTAAGAGCCAGTCCTCGTTAGTATAGTGGACAGTATCTCCGCCTGTCACGCGGAAGACCGGGGTTCGATTCCCCGACGGGGAGGCTTTTATTTGTGAAGGCCAAACACCTTGTACAAGCTCAGGCTTTACCGTGGAAACTTCTGATAAAGCGACCCAGAAAAGTAAGGTAAGTATCTTAAAAAGTACTTTCAAAAAGTGTTGGCAATTGGTTTATGAAAGGATTTTTTTAGGCATGTTTGGCCTGAGTTTTTGTTGCATTTCCACTGTTCTGACCAGCAGGGGTCACCAGACCATTTCACAAGATGTAAACAACACTGGTCCAGAAGCACTTCCTGTTTCAGTTTGTAACTGTTTTCTTTATTTCAAATGTAAAGAAAACATCTTAAAGATGTTTGTTTAACTTTTTGATTCAGTTTTAAATGTTCTGTTGGTTGTATTTTATCCCAGCTTTTATGTAGTGTTAAAAAACTGAAACAGGAAGTGCTTCTGGCCCAGTGTTTACATCTTAAGCTATAAAATCATTAGTTTATGGGAAACACTTTAATTTGTTAACATTAGTTAGCTACATTAATTAATATAAACTAAGAATGAACAATACATCTACAGCATTTATTAATCTTCATTTCCTAACATTATTCATATCAAATGTTGTATTTGATAACATTGGTTAATGCACTCATTGTGATCTAACATGAACAAAAGCCACTGTATTTTTTATTAACTAGCCTAATGTAACAAAGATTAATAAATACCGTAACAAATGTATTGCTCATTGCTAGTTAATGTTAGTAAATTTTATGTTAACAGATTAAACTTTATTGTAAAGTGTTACCAGTTTACGTTATCTTTTTAAGATCTTTGTTTAATACCAAGGGTTTTATTTGTGATGGTTTAATTAATGACACAATTTGTATAATAAAAAGGAAGTGGTTTAGTTAAGAAACTCTATTTAACTGACCTATCAATTTCTCCATTAAACAAGCTCAATGATTTAATTGGCTACAATTTATTTTATACAGACACTTCCTATTTAATGGTATTAGATGATTTGTTAAATGCATTTGAAAGATTTTAAGAAAGCATTTGCTGGTGACCCCTGCTGGTCAGAAAAGTAGAAATGCAACAGAAACTCAGGCCAAACATGCCTAAAACAACCTTTTACAAACCAATTGCAAACACTTACTTGAAAGTACTTTTCGAGAAACTAACCTTACTTTTCTGGGTCGCTTTATCAGCAGCTTCCACGATAAAGCCTGAGCTAATGCAATGTTTGGCCTTCATAAAGAAAAAGCCTCCCCGTCGGGGAATCGAACCCCGGTCTTCCGCGTGACAGGCGGAGATACTGTCCACTATACTAACGAGGACTGGCTCTTACTCCTGTGTCTCTGGCACTGTTTTGTATACTCAACCGTTGAGAAGTCACTTTATACTGCACATGCTTTCCATTATGGGAGTTATTGTCATTTAATCCTTTTATTTTGGCCAAGGGGGGCAGGAAGAGGAGCTCTCCCTCTCCTATGGAGGAATCCACCTGCAATCCAAGGAGATGAAGGGTTTGTTCATTTAGCTTCCAGGAAGTTCCTAAAAATCTTGAGTTCCCATTCGAGAGTGGTAATTTCAACATTGCGTCAGCTATGACGCTGTGGGAACTCCTCCCTTCTCCACTTTTATTGAAATTGTATAGGTTTATGCCAGCTTGCAACAGCTGGCCAACTGTTGCGAAGTATGTAAATTCTGACAGGCTCGCGAGCAGTATAAAATGCATGGGCGTATGTATTAAATCCCACCGTAAGAGTAGCCGACGAAGAGCGAGACCTTGACGAGGGCTGGAACGAGCAACGGGGCATCATGTGACTCATAGCCTTTGTGCACTTCTGCGCCTCAGAAAAACGCTCAGGCGTCACCAAAGAGACCAGAGGGAGTGATTGGAGCATTTAAGAGTGCCTCGCAGTCCGTATCTTCAAGTCAGCCAGGGTTAAATACAGGTACCTGTTAAGGATGACCATGAACCTCATGAAGTGGCCAATGGCGTAGGCAGAGTGGTTTGTAACCATGAGCACAAAGTCCACAGTCCTTTCATAAAATACAGAGCGGATGCTGCTTCACCAGCTGAAGCATAGGCTTTGAACCATGAACCGTGAACTTGCACGGCATCGACTGCAGGCTGAGATCCGCGCCCAGAAACTAAAGGGTGGACACAGGTGCACGGTGACGGTCTCATTGACTGGGGGGGATGCGCATATAGCTGTGGGCTTCCACCCCGCAACACAGGGAGAAGACAGCCTGTGTGGCAGTGTGCACACGCGCGGATTGTGTTGCAGACTACGACCCCAACATGTGCTTGTGGACAGCGTGGAAGAACAGAGTCCTCCTTCTCGAAGCAGCCAAGTGGCCCAACTGGAGATACCAGGAATCCAACTTACTCTAGGTAGGCTCATCCGGGGCATTCCACGTCGAGTCCAGCACATCCCACCTGCTTCTCAAGTGCACACCGGCAGGTCGGTGCAGTGCATATGGAGTCCAAGAAGGCCGCCTCGGCGAGGGCCAGGCCCAGGCAGGCTCACTCAGTACCCATAGGTGTCGGGCGGGTCGATGGGGCCTGCACAAATCCTGCAATGGTTATTGGATTGCAGGTGCATAGGAGAGGGAGAGCTCCTCTTCCGGCCCCCCTTGGCCAAAATAAAGGGCTTAAATAATAAAAACGCCCATAATGGAAAGCATATTCAGAATTAAGTGACTTCTCAACGGTCGAGTATACAGTGCCCTACCGCTCTGAGACACAGCACTATCAGTTATAGTGGACAGTAGGGCTGCACGATTAATCGCACGATATTGTTATGCGCATGTAATCAATAAAGCCGGTTCCTTGATTAGTAGTAAATCACCTTCACATGCTTTCAGATGGACGATATGAGTGTTGAATTAACACTCAAGGGTGTTAAAGTTAATGAGATAATTAAGTGATTAATTTAGTGATGATTGAGCATTATTGAAGACACCTGATGATCACAAGCAGAATCACCGAAGGAGAAAATCACAAATTGTAAGCCACCGTTATGGAGATCAGTGTTTGCTTTAGTTGGGCTCTTGACCCTTAAACTTTCACTTTAAACTTTGTTTGTCTGCTGTTATTGATTTATAACGTTTAAATGAACATAGACAAGCATGATCTGATAGTGTTGATAATGTTGGTAAACATATTTAGATGATCTAATTTAACTTATTAGCAACAGTTTAGTGGTTCTACAGCATATGATAATTGTGTTTTTCTTGTAGTCCAAAAAATTGTTAAAAAATTATTTTGATCAAATCACTTTCTTCTTTATTTAGAAACACAGACATCAATAATCAGCCTGTGTATCTCAATCGTGGTGAAAAAATTAATCCTTGTTGCCACCAATCACAACTCAAAAATGGCTCCCATCATGCATTGCGGTATGAATAAATTATGATCTGAATTGTCTATGTAATTTACTTTTCTTAATTGAATATTCTGCTCGTCATCATAATTGAGATGTTGACTGAGTCTTGACGTCTGTATGTGCCTTAGGGAAAGATTTTTTTTTAACAAATTTTAAGAAATCCTTTATATTATATCTTATATTCTAAACATTCATGCAGAAACACATTCATACTGTAACTAATAGCATAAATCTCAACATTTAGTTCATATGATGAATGTTATAATTTAACAAACACCATCACAACACTCTTTTCTTTGTTCATCTGGCAGGTATAACCCATATACAGCAACCGAACAAAATATAAACTTAAAGGGTTAGTTCACCCAAAAATGAAAATTAAGTCATTAATTACTCGCCCCAATGCTGTTCCAACCCCGTAAGACCTTCGTTCATCTTCGGAACACAAATAAAGATATTTTTGATTAAATTTGAGAGCTGTATCAGTCCTACATAGACTGCCTAAGGGACTGCCTCTTGACGGCCCAGAAAGTCAATGAAGAAAATGTTTAAATATTCCGTGTGACTAGTGACTACAGTGGCTCAACTATAAGTTTATCAAGCGACGAGAATACTTTTTGTGCGAAAAAACAAACAAAAATAACGACTTTATTCGACTATTCCTTTTCTTCCTTGTTGGCCTGAAACGAGACTTCCTTAGATTTCCACGACGCATGCGAGAGAACTGAACTGAGGTAGTTGAAGGAGATCGCAATTCTCGCGCATGCGTCGTGGAAATCGTTTTGAAGTCTCGCCTGTCACGTGTAAGACTGGGGTTCGATTATCCGTGGAAACTGCTAATAAGGCAACCCACAAAAGTATGGTTAGTTTCTTAAAAGGTACTTTCCAGAAAGTGTTGGCAATTGGCTTATAAAAGTGTTTGGCCTGAGTTTTTGTTGCATTTCCACTGTTCTGACCAGCAGGTCACCAGGTGTGGCGCTTCGCACGCTTCAACAGTGAATTATTTTGTGAAGCACTCGGTTCAATTGATTCAAAGCTTTGCAAAATGATTCACTGTTGAAGTGCCACACGCTGGTGACCCCTGCTGGTCAGAACAGTGGAAATGCAACAGAAATTCAGGCCAAACATGCCAAAGGGCCGTTACATAGTCAACGCGAGCTACGCGAGCAAGCAACGCGAGTGACGCTCTCCCTTTCATAGTGTAAAAGCAGATGCAAGCGTCAAGGGCGATGCGTAAAATGCAATACACCGGTCACGCAACAGGGGGTAGTAGATTTTTCACTGCAAACCTGAAAAAGCGGTGAAGCTCGTGAAGGCGTGCGTGGCTCTCCACAACTTTCTGGCATCCACTGAACGTTCCAGATACATGCCCGCCGCCTTTGTGGATGCGACGTCTGACACCGGAGAGGTCCAGCCTGGAGAGTGGAGGCAGCACGTTGTGGGGGACCAGAACATGGTCGCCGGACCACGGTTTTCGGTTGGCAGCAGCAGACCCTCCCGGAGAGCGGCACTTGTCAGGGAGCAGCTGGCTGATTACTTTTTATCAGATGCTGGCGTGTTTCCCCACCAATACAGTGTGCTACGATTGGGTAGCACTGACAAATAAATTGATAAAAGTTCGATTTGAAGCATGAGTTTTTTATTATTATTTAACACTTTACACATTTTAACTTATTTTGGTATTATGTGAAAACCATAATTTGGTATTTTTTAAATTATGTAAAAACCATTACACATTTTAACTAATTTGGTATTTCATTAATTCATATCCATAAACCATTAATTCATATAACCAGGCTGGTAAATTTGTCACGGGCACTTTTCCAGTCCGTTTTCACCTGATTCTGTCTTTCCCATCGCGATTGCAACCTCTCTCCAGGCATTTTCCATCGCAATTTTATTTGAGTGTACTAATTGTGATGAACTGTCGTATAAATGCGGATGAACGCGTATAAGCTCGTATAATTTTTCCTCCTCGACCGCCATTGTATTCAAACCTTCTTCTTCTGTTAACATGATATATTTGAATAAATGTACAATTCTTGCAATGTCGCCCCCACCGATAACGCATAGTATGGGCTATATGCACGCATAAATTCCGCATTTGACGCAAGGATGGTCGTCCATTTCCGGTTGTGGAGATTAAAGCGGGGGAAACCGAGGAAAATGGGATTATGGCAGAGTCTTCAAAATTTACTGTCCTCCAGTCTTTGAAATGAAACATACGTTTAGATTTTTATAGTTATATTTATTTAATATAATTTTTAAAAGAAGCATAAACACAACGAGGGGTGTCTGTTTTATCTGTTTTTGTGACTAACGTTTCTCATGGAGTATAAAATTCAATATAAATTCTCAGTATTGCATTGGACTCTACGATCGGCGGAAGTTATCGAGCATCCCTAATGTTTCACCGGAAATACCGCCGTGCATAGAGCCCATCGCGTGCATCATTCAGTGCGTCGCGTATCGGACGACACATTTGGCTACGCATCGACGCATAATGGCGGCCAAAGCTAGCGATGCATGCGGACGCGTATGCGTACAGATGCGTTAACGGCCTTAAGGCTGATTTATACTTCTGCGTCGAGGGTACGCCGTAGTGTACGGCGTTGGCTACGCACGTAGGCGACGCCGTTGTGAGCATTTATACTTCTGCGCTCAGGTATTGGTTGCTCTGCAGTACTGCTCCGAAACGCTAGGAGGCGGCGGAGGGTTTTAATGTTCCACTGTGTTTAGATTCCTCGCGGCTAGATTACTACAAGCAATAGCGACTGAAAGAGAGTGGATTATGTTGGAGTTGGAGCTTATTGGGGTGAAAAAACAGTTCATTTTAGTGAAATTACTAAAACTGAAAGGCAGAAATGAGAGAAGACGTCGGAGGAGAAGGTACGTGCGGAAATGCGTATGAGGAAATACGATGCTACCAAGCCGACCAATCACCGATCTTGCGGTCCGCGTCGTCGCGACGTGTAGTTACATTTTTGAAGAGGTGCGCGTCAGGCAACGCGGAAGGGTACGCGGTATGGGACGCGTCTGTGCGTATGCTACGCCGTACCTACTGCGCGCACCCTACGCAGAAGTATAAATTGGCCTTTATAACAACCTTTTAGGGCCGTTACATAGTCAACGCGAGCTACGCGAGAAAGCAACGCGAGTGACGCGAGCAACGCGCTCCCTTTCATAGTGTTAAAGCAGACGCAAGCGTCACGGGCGATGCGTAAAATGCAATACACCGGTCACGCAACAGGGGGTAGTAGATTTTTCACTGCAAACCTGAAAAAGCGGTGAAGCTCGTGAAGGCGTGCGTGGCTCTCCACAACTTTCTGGCATCCACTGAACGTGCCAGATACATGCCCGCCGCCTTTGTGGATGCGACGCCTGACACCGGAGAGGTCCAGCCTGGAGACTGGAGTGGAGGCAGCACGTTGTGGGGGACCAGAACATGGTCGACGGACCACGGTTTTCGGTCGGCAGCAGCAGACCCTCCCGGGAGAGCGGCACTTGTCAGGGAGCAGCTGGCTGATTACTTTTTATCAGATGCTGGCGTGTTTCAATAGGCTACAGTGTGCTACGATTGGGTAGCACTGACAAATAAATTGATAAAAGTTCGATTTGAAGCATTCGAGTTTTTTATTATTATTTAACACTTTACACATTTTAACTTATTTGGTTTTATGTGAAAACCATTACACATTTTTTTATAATTTGGTATTATTTAAATTATGTAAAAACCATTACACATTTTAACTAATTTGGTATTTTAATTAATTAATTCATATCCATAAACCATTAATTCATATAACCAGGCTGGTAAATTTGTCACGGGCACTTTTCCAGTCCGTTTTCACCTGATTCTGTCTTTCCCATCGCGATTGCAACCTCTCTCCAGGCATTTTCCAACGCAATTTTATTTGAGTGTAGCCTACTAATTGTGATTGTGAATTCTGTCGTATAAATGCGGATGATATAAATGCTGGTATAAGCTCGTATAATTTTTCCTCCTCGCCCGCCATTGTATTCAAACCTTCTTCTTCTGTTAACATGATATATTTGAATTAATGTACAATTCTTGCAATGTCGCCCCCACCGATAACGCATAGTATTGCGCGCATCAGTGCGTCGCGTATCAAAAACTAGGACGACACATTTGGCTACGCATCGACGCATAATGGCGGCCAAAGCGTAGCGATGCATAGCCATGCGGACGCGTATGCGTACCGATGCGTTGACTATGTAAAGGCCATTAATTACAAACGCTTTTTTTGAACATAAAATCTCTCACTAATAGATAACAGCAGCTGAAGTTTGCTGTGATTACATATAATTATTTGAACTTTATACACGTTTGTCTTACACACAAAATAAACAAACTGGGTAGGCCAACTACAAACAAACAGCATTGGCATTAAGTTCTTGATCAAATAAACAATTACGTCAAAAAATATACATTCAAAATATACAAAAATAGTACATAATTACAAATTCAGGTCCAAAATGTTTGTACGCGAATGTCATAGACATAACTAAATGGCTACTAAAGCCAGCGCTGGCATTTGTTTACGTCCTTGATAAACTAAAACATTACGCCTGAAATTATACATGCAAATACATTTTAAATGATTAAGTCTTACTTACAGGTTGTGGCCCAACAACTGCAGCCTCTGGTTTTAAAGTTGGAACTGCTTCATGTTTTAGTAACCTTGTTGAATCACTGAATTCGTGGAGATTCTGGAAGCTGTCTTCACAAATAACACACTTTCGACAACAGCTCTCCACTATAACTCTTCCTCTTCGACATAGCCGCAGAAATATGGCCATGCTCCCTTTTTTGCATATTCCAGAGGGAGAGTTGATGTAAATTTATGGGTTAGTAACTAACATGGGCGTAGGAGCCATTATACGATGGATTTTGTTTTGCATTGCCTGCCTATCTCTGCCAATTTTGGAGTCTCCCAATTAATCCATTCTGCAACTTTTAAACACATAATTCAATTTTGAAAAACGACCGGTTTTCTTCAGCTGTCATCAGTCGACCATGATCGCGGCATCGCGCACCGCTCGCGCATGCGCATCTAGGTGACACGGATAAATGTAGTTCCAGAAGTGTACAAAGTGCCCTGACCTTGAATGACAAGGTAAGGAAAATAACACTAAACCAAAATTAAATAACCAAGACTTGGTTGGTATTTTTCTCAGGAGATGTTTTGAGCATTTATTTCATACACCGGATTATCAGCAAACTGCCAAGAGAACTGCTAGCTGGCTACTCAAAATAAACTAGCAATCTATTCAGTCAGCATATTTGTGTTTGATCTGTGTGAAAAAACTTGAAATATAATTGCTAGACCTACTTTTAGCTACCAAGCAACCTTCCCACAAGGGATAGATTGATTTTATTTTATAGTATTTTATAGTTAATGGAAATCAAATCAACCATTAATTTGAGTTAATCAGTACATGACTGATTAACAGTAATGTAAATGCTAAATGCCCTAATACATATTGATACAACAATGCAATGCTCTTAACCTCTTAACCATGACACCAAGCAAATAATGTAATAACACTTACGTTTTAACTGTATTAGCTGGCAATTATGACGATTTTTTCTCAAACGTTTTATTTAATCCAAAAGTGAAATTCCAATTTGCACAAAATGAAACCAAACACTGATCATGCAAACATTTACCACAGATATCAAACGTATCCATTACATGATTGTCACATCACATAGCCATAGGTGTGTGTGTGTGTGTGTTTATGTTATGTTTTATGATATGACTAGAAACTGTTACAACGGTTACACTTAAAATGGTAATTTCACAGAATTGCTAGAGCTTTGTGCTGAATAAATAGTCTTACATACACATTTGTGATATATTCTCTGTACGTCTGGATATAGTTTACATATAATCTCAGGAATGTAGCTCTAAAAGGAGTTTATATACAATTTCAGAGGTGGTTTATTCATGCCTCACCCCAAATACGTGGAGAAACAATTCAGTTTGATTGGCTATTGTGTATCTTCATACCTGTAATTCAGAATATATGCAAATATAACTAGCTTTGATTAAAAAAAAAGTTACTTGACAATACACCTTATTAATGATGATGCATGTAAAAATATATAAAATACACAGACGTTTCAGTGTAGTTTCAGGGTCTTTTCTGATTTGGACTGGAAAAAGTTCTCAGGCAGGTCAAGACATGTTTCTGTAACCAAAATCTAAAAAAATAAAAACAAGTTTCCTATATAAAGATGCCGTAACAGTGTTCACGTATCAAATGTCTGCGCCTCATTTACAGTCACATGTAAAAGGGCAATTTCACAGACAAATATAAAAGTTAAAACATATTTACATGTGATATGGATAATCACATAAGACTTCAATTGATCCCACTATATATTTGGTTGTGTTTTAACAGCTGATGGCACACGTGCGTGGCTGCGGGCATCAGCCGGGCTTCTTCCTGTGCTCTGAGATGGCGCTCCACAGTTTACACAGGACTCCACCTCTACAAACACAAGAAAAAACACAATTAGACCCAACCACCCTAAAGTGAACAGGAATTATGTTGTGCGTGTCTCCGGAGGACCACGTTTGCATAAACAGAAATGAATTTCTCATTTCTCAGATAACGTAATATAAAATGTGTCTAAGCATCGGGAACTTGCAGCAAGCCGAACAATGATGAGTAACTCACTCCACTGTTTTATAGAAGCCTATATTGCAAAAGATTACATTTAACAACAGGTTATATTTTCAATGCGTTTCCGCGCCTCACGTGTCATTAAGCAACATTTCTAGAGCAGCAAATCATCATATTAGAGCGATTTCTAGAGGATCATGTGATGCTGAAGACTGGAATAATGATGCTGAAAATTAAGGTTTGATCACAGGAATAAATTACATTTTAAATTATTAAAATTGAACACAGTTATTGTAAATTGTAATGCTGTAATATTTAATATTATAGTGTTTGCTGTATTTTTGACTAAATGAACTCAGCCTTGGTGAATCATCTTTCAAAAACATTGGCCTGAAATATTTGAATGGCCGTGTAACAATTTAATGTGAAATATAACCTATGCATGCTTATGTCTTTTTAAAATAAGAATACATTACAGAATATCAGAGTTGTTCCCATACCGTAATCTCAAAGTCTTCAAGTCGTCTCTGGTGACGTAACGAAGGATGTCATCTAGACTGTAATCTTCGGCTATCACCTATGATATTGAGAGAACATAAACCGTTACCTGTTGATTACAGACAATATAATGAAGGACCAGATGTTTTAAAATATTCGGAGGCCAAAGTGAACAGATTTTCTGTGTATTACTCTCTCTATGGAGTCTGCATCCGCCCCGTGGAGTTTCAGCCAGTCCAGAAGTTCCCGGTGTCCGTCTCCTTCAAATGAACTATTTGTGTTCGTGAGGTGCACAGGAACATCTGCCATAAACACACGGTAACAAATTAGGGATTTGATACATGGCAAAAGATTACCAAAGCAGCATGTTAAGATCAATATTCAAATAAAGACAGTCGGCACAACACTGAATATTGTCCAGTGAGAGAATGTAACCGCAAGATTCTGGAAGAAATACAGTGCCCTAAAATGTATTAGTTTTACTCAGTGACGTTTAAGCAGCTGGATTATTAGTGAGAGTCTCATGTCTGTGATACTGACCAATGAGCTGAACTGACAACCCAACATCATAGCTGAAAATAAGGGAGATTTCCTGGAATCCATCCCCAAAATAAGGGATTTTTTTTACACGATTCTTACTTTAAAAATAAAGCACTAATCATTAAAAGTCTAAAGAGTTTATAACTAACCTATACATGTGTGAGAGAGAAAGAGACCGTGTTTCATTTAAAGAAAAAAAACCTACATTTGGGTTAGCGGTGTGTTGCTCTTGCCTTTACGACAACAATTTCAACTGTTATCACCATCTTCCAAAATCCGCAAAACAGGGATGTGGGCTGTCTGTTTATTTCAATAACATTTACACATTTTGTGTAGCTTTAAAGAGCCTATATTTAGCCTGATGGTGGACTGTCACTCAGAAGACACACTTGTTATTGTAGCCTAATATCCTCTAATAGGCCCAAAACGTTTTTTTTTTTTTTTTTTTTTCAAAAGTTTTTTTCTTTCTTCTTTATGTAATCACATTGTTAAGAGCATAAGAAACTAATGAATATATATATATATATATATATATATATATAGGACTCGATTGTTTTAAAAAAAATGTCATGCAATTATATATAGGCAAAAATAATGGCAATATTCGAAAATCGATAATTATTATTATTTGTTTAAATTACATTGATATCTGAATTTATGTAAAAACCTAGACTTTCAAACATCAAAATGTAATTTATTAAATGTAATGTATTCGTGTACAAAATGATTCGTGTACAAATATAAACATCGTTTTCAATTTATTTTTATTTATTTTTGCCTGGAAACGCTTTCAATACGCTTGCTTGAAAAATAGGCGTCAGTTCTATTTCTAGCATGCGCGCGTTTTCTGGAGATGCGCGTGTGTCACGCAGGCAAGCTCTAATCTGTTAACATTAAAGAGCCAAAATAAAAACGAACACGCCACGCAGCCAGTGTGTCTCCTGCCTATAACATCCGAGGATAAACGACTTCAAGCCGAATCTGTCCGAGCTTACGTCTCACACAATCAGAACGTAAAAATACGGGGTATTTAAAATTCGTGAGAAACCCGGAAAAAACGGGAGGGTTGACAGCTATGCCCAACATCCTACTCACATACTGCACGATCCAAGCAATTTCCTCAGAACGTTTAATTTAATAAAACTAAATTACTTAAGACAGTGGAGGCAGGCAGTCTGTGTTTGTTGAATTGTTTTTCTCACGAAAGCTGTGCATGGATACATGCTTTCCACAGAGTACTTTTACATATCTGTGATATTAGACTGTTCATTCCCAGCTGTTTTTCATGTTGACGCTCACAGCATACGCAGCTGTCATTTACATTCATACAAACACAAATGATGGTGTGCTGCTATAAATGCTCACACAAATGTTAAGGCATCAATGAAACATGATCATCGAAGTAGGCAGTCTTTACACACTGAACAGATTGTAGTTTATAGTAATTCCAGCCGTATACAGTGAAGAGAAATGTCATTTCACTAGGTGTGCAGCGCATAATAAGGACACCAAGATGAGGAAAACAACATACTTGAAGTTACGTAGCAAGAAAGAAAATATACCAAAAGACAGCAGAAATATTAATAATAATAATTAAAGCTGCAAGCAGCATTTATTAGTGTTCAAGCAGTTCAGGCCTTTAAGCACAAAAGCATCAAAAGGCATTCAATTTTATTTAACATGCATTTATCCACCGACATAATAGATGTAAAACACCAATTACAATCAATACAGGCAATTTAACATTGGAAATACATGGTTTTAAAGCTTTTTAACAGTTATAGTGCCACCTATGGTCCGATCTCCATGCTTCTTCGGCATGTTATGAGACATACAGTATGCTCATCAATTTTCCTTTAGGATCTATATGATTTTGGGTGCATTTTGTCCCACCCCTTTTGTAAATGACCCTGTTACAGCCAATCAAAAGCAAAATTTCGACTTTTCTTTCAATAATTATTTGATCTAGAGAGTCCAAAGAATAGGCCTAGACTGGTTTGGTTCCAATCGGGCTCATACTCTGATAGGTTCTCCTCAATTTGAGGCCCTACCATTTGACAAAGTTTCAGAGCTCCAGCCCTTACGGTTTGGGCTGCACGATGCGTTTTAGGGGATTTTTTTTTTCTTTCTAGCAAATACAATAGGTTTTCAGCACTTCGTGCTTGAACACCTAAATATAGCTGCAAGCAGCCATTATCGGAGCCAAGCACAAACACAACATCAAGTGTCAGACCAACTGTAACGAGCAATTAAAGACATTTTAAGATTATTTTAGGCTAAATCACTAATATAATCATTAATAAAATGATTTAATGGTATGTCACTTTTAACCAATAGGTGGCACAGTTACGAAACTGATGTAGTGTGGTCAGAGTGAGGTGATTTTGGTGTTAATATGTCAATGCACTTCAGAGATAAAGCCTGAATAGTCATTTTGGCATGATGCCTTAACTTGGAGACGATTCGATTAGATTTTGGTGAAAATCGCACAAACGGTCTAGATAGAAGTTCGGTTTTAAAGGAAAATAAAGATGGTGGACAGGAAGTTTGGCTGACTATGGCAAAATTGGTATCCATGCATCTATTTTTCGGCATAACCCAAGGAATCTATTAAGACCAGTGCCATTACAATAGGTAAATTTGGGCATTAGTATATAGCAAACAACCTTTGTCTCCGAACAGTGGTTTCGTCTCGATGTTGGCAAACGTTTTTATGCGCTAAATCACAACATTACACAAACTAAAAGGCGAAACCTAGCATGTTTGGTATCGTTGGACTCGGCAAAGATTCAGTAATTAAGGAATTCCTGTGAAAATTGGCACAATAAATAACATTAATAATAACTATTAATTAGGGCTGTGCAAAAGTTAATTGCGATTAATCGCATCCAAAATAAAAGTCTGTGTTTACATAATATATTTGTGTGTGCTGTATATAATTATTTTGTATATATAAATACCTATGCATGCATGTATATATTTAAGAATTATTTGCGGTTAAATTCTGTATATATTTATAAATACATAATCTATATTATATAAATATAAATATTTTATATATGAATAACATATTTTCTTAAATATATACATGCATGTGTGTGTATTTATTAGGGGTGGCACGGTACATGAAAAAACACCCGAACCGTTCGGTTCGCTTGTCTCGGTTCGGAGCGCGTGTGCGTCTCACGGTTCGACGCATGCGCAATGTAACCTCGTGCACGTATGTGACGTGTGTTTTCTTTTCGCGCGACATAAACTTGTTCGACTTGGACCGGCGCTCATCAATAACATCAATCTAGCGCGATTCGGCTCCGTATGCATTCATCACTTTCGCGGTATTTGATGTCATTACCGATCGCTCTGTGCAGCGCCGGTTCAAGTTAATAAACAAGCCAGTAAAAGTGGAGTATGGAGCGCTGCAGGTCACGGCACGCGGAGAAATGGCAAGTGGGAGAGATGAGGGAGTTGGAGGATGCGCCAGCGTCGTATAAGTCTATGGTATAAGTCCGGTGTGTGGGAACATTTTGGATTTCATGTTATGATATTTTAATTTAACTACAGTGGCACTTTATGCATAGATAAGAGCTTCAGTCATACGTTTCCAAACCCTGCACTTTAATTTTAAGTGGAAAAAAGTACCCTCACATTTTGGGAATAGAAGCATTGTTGATACTGTTTTTGTGTTGAGGTTGAATTTAAATTTCACTTTATGTTTATGGCCTTTGCTATTGCTATAGCTTAATTATCTATAGGCAATGAGGTTTCATGTATATTGACATTTAAAAGACAGTGTTTTAAGAGTTCCTCTCTTTTTCTTTTAAAAGATAGAATTTTGGTAAGAGCTACAAAAGTTAGCAGTTGATACATGAAAGTTAATTTCTTTGTGTAAATAAGATTTATGTGATAAAAATGCACAAGTTCTTGTAGAGATAGTGATACACATTCTCCTTTTTTGCCAAATAAACAAAAAGCATGTCAATTTCTTCTCTCTTGCTGTATCTAAATCTGAGATGAAATCTAAAATTCAGTTTGTGCATGATTGCATGAATATAATATATATTTTTTAATACTGTATCCTAAAGTGTGGATAATTAAGCTATATATCACATGCTGAAGTACATTTCTGGAGTGTTAAAGATTAAAAGAAAAAATAACAAGAACCGTACAGAACCGAAAACCGTGACCCTAAAACCGTGATACAAACCGAACCGTGGGTTTTGTGAACCGTGCCACCCCTAGTATTTATATATACAAAATAATCATATACAGCACACACAAATATATTATGTAAACAGAGACTTTTATTTTGGATGCGATTAATCGTAATTAACTTTTGCACAGCCCTACTATTAATTAAGGCCCACACTGAGATGTGGTTTGCACTGTTTATGGCAGTACAGTCATGAGTCATCAGGGTGAACAACAGTGGGCTGAACCTGAGTTTCTATTCTTTCAAACATATTACAGTGTGTCTCAGCGCAAAAATACCCTCAGTTTTAGAGAACACAGGGGAATTTAAGCAGCAGTGGGACAAACAGGCTAAAAGACAGACTGATATTTAACCAGCAGGCATTTTCATTGCAGTCTGTAGCTCGGAATACAGAGTGTGTCTATATATGTGTGTGTGTGTGTGTGTGTGTGTGTGTATAAATGCGCAAATCAGACTCACCGACAGGCCCGGATCGACACTTCAATAGTTTGATCTCTTGTTCTCTCTCCTCCAGGACTTGCTGTAGGATGGCCTGATATTCTCTCTCTTTCTCTATCAATTCCTCCAACAACCTGGAGCACACAAACACACTCATGTCTAAGTATATAACCGTCCAGTGTGCTACAGTATGACACATGATAAACATGCAAATACACATAACACAACTTGCACATGCTCTGAAAAGCTGGGATTATGGTTAATCATAGTCCAATAACTGCTGAATTTTAAAGGAATACTTCCGCAAATAATACAAAGAGTCCATATTCACATTTCTCAGTCAAACATTTAAAATGCACCCAAAAAAACATGACTTTCATAAATATAATTCAAAGTCAAATCTGCACGAATTTTGAGTCTTCAAAAAGTTTCAGCACCATAAAAGGTTGCAAGACAAACACGACCCATTGCGGTTTAGGGTCGTATGGCAGGGTGCAGGGATGTGATTTTTACATTTTTACACACACTTAGCTTGTTAGCCTGGGGTTAAAGCACTGAACACGTGTAGAAATCGCCGTTGAATTGGTGTAATGTTGTTATGATGTTACTAATGTTAACAAATGAGACCTTATTGTAAAGCGTTAGCCATATTTTCTACATGCTATTAAATGCTTGCTTAATTTCTTGTGCAATTTTCTTCCAGATTTATTAGTTATTTATGAATCACCATTTATTTGTGTTAAAGCTTATTACTATTCATGTTATATTATAGTGAAGGGGTGGATGTATAAGTAATGAGTGATTATAATCGAGGTATTGATGTGTGTCCTATACGTTGAGTGACTTCTGTGGAGATTTTACGTACAGTAGTTACCAGTGTGATTGCTGAAATGTTGTTTTCATCTAATGCTTGCTCATTTAGCCCAGCATCCAGAGATGAAATATGGACTGTGTTTGTGTTTGGGAAAGGTCTTCAATGTGTTAAGGTCGTTGAAGCCAATAGTTTAAGTCACCATTTCTTTGTTAAAGCCTTCCCAGATAACAAACTGACATTCAATCAACGTGGAAATTAGGGGTGGTTAATCTGTCTGATTTCCCGATTCGATTCGATTACGATTATTGAAGTCCCGATTCGATTACAGTCGATTTTCGATTATTAACGATTCTCGATTACCGATTATTGATTTTCCATTTCACAACAGTAAACGAAAATACACTAGATCAACATGTGATTTTATTAGCAGCAGCAACATTTTGGTATTAATTGCACTTTTTATTTGTTTGATATTCATTGAAAATATAATGATGGTTAGTGAGGACATGCAAACATGCTTGTTGTCTACTACTTAGGCAACTCATTATCTTTACATTTATTAACTTTAATTTTTTTTTTCAAAAGCAATTTTGTTGCATTATAATGCAAATGCACCTGGTTCTATTAATTGACAGCATTAAAATGTATTTTGTGATTTCCTTCAATTGAAAATATTTGAAGCAAGTTTGGGGGACTTGAAGGGCACCCGATTCAGAGAATCACCTAGAAATTCAAAAGAACAGCATTTATCTGAAATAGAAAGCTTTTGTAACATTAAACAATACCGTTCAAATGTTTGGAGTCGGTAAGAATTTTTATTTAATTTTTTGGGCAAAAGAAAAAAAGAAATCTATACTTTTATTCATCAAGGATAAATTAAGTTGATCAAAAGTTAAAGTACAAGACATTTATAATGTTACAAATCGATTATCTGAATCTTTTGTGTGTGACTATAAATAATTTGCTTTAAAAGTACAAATTAATGACCCATAAAGAATTAATGCACAATATATTTTATTAACATTACAAAGAACGACCAGGAAAATAAATGTGTGCTTGAACTAGCATACTTGTAGTAAATAAATAATATAACGACTGGTGCAGCCGAGTGTTTTTCCTCCTCTGGCTGGAAAGGTGTCATATATGGCTTATCATATTTGTCGTGTTTCCGTCATTGGTTTTATTCCACAAAGCGTACAACTAGTGCGGCTCTTGTCCAGCTCCTTTCCCCCTTCAACTTCAGAAGCCAAAATATTTCCACACGTCAGCTTTTAACCTAACAAGGAAAGTGTTTGGATCTCGCGTGCCATCTCATCTCTGTTATGTGCACGCCACAGACGGTCCGGCCACTGCACTTCCGCGCTTCAGAGTTCCGTCTTTCGCGTTCCGTCAATATTACGTTATTATAAGTACATATAAAATTTTTTTTTTTTAAATCGATTTTTTGACATGTGTGAATCGATTCAGGATCGTCCACGTCCGCATCGCGATTTTCTTCCCCACCCCTAGTGGAAATATGACATCGAAACAACGTTGATCTGACATTGTTTTGCTCATCGAATTAACGTTGAACCAACGTCAGACGCGTCATTCTTTCAAAACGAACGGAAAATAAACTTGAAATCAATGTTGTTTTAACGTTATGAAAGCAACGATTTTCATTTAGCTTTGAAGAATGCCGCGTCTGACGTTGGTTCAACGTTAATTCGATGAGCAAAATCAACGTTGTTTCGATGTCATGAGAGACGTCGTTTCCACGTTGATTCAATGTCAGTTTGCTGTCTGGGTTATTTTCCAGTTAGACTGAAGTCTAGCTATCCTTGAGAGAAAGAAGGCATTATCTCGATGTTTTGAGACGACTCTCCTGTTTATGGTTAGAGCCTGGCCTAATCCAACCTTGGAAAAGCTGTGTGTTAGTCTTCTCGGTTACAGGCTAAGGAACCACAGGCATTATGGGAGATTGAATGAGTTGTTGTTCTGGACATGTTGGCGCCCAGCAATCCAGATCTGAGACCTGGAAGGTCACGACGTGCCTAACTTCAGGGTCCGAGTGTCATCCGCATAATCCATGGAGATATGCTTCCGTCTATCTGCATATGTGTGGAAAATTAATACGTTTATCTATTTCTTAGCCAATCAGAAACTGCAACCTGAAGCAAGGACGTACCTTAGACCTTGGTGAAGGGTATAACTGCTGTGTGTGTGTGGTGCGGAGCGGCCTACAAACTCCTGTGTGAGTCTTGAAGCTGAAATTCTGCTGATGAAACTGAAAAACTATCTTAATTTATTATAATTCTGACTCCGGGTCTTCCTTCAAACATCTGGTCCTTAGGTCCTAAACTGTGACCCTGACAATAGTAAATTGCAGTAAATATGATTTTAAAAAATTGTTTACAAACACTGGTTGTATTTTTTAATATTCCAACAGCCATGTGCACATGTGAAAGACTAGTTAATTCACTTTATGTGCTTTAGACATGTTAATCATCCACGATATTATGTGCTTTAATAACAGAATTGTACATCAGAGATGGGGACTCGAGTCTGAGACCCAAAAGACGCGTCAGCAACCTGTTTTCGTGCAATTATTGCTTTTTAAATCTAAATTCATTTGAATGTATTTCTATTTTCTTTTATTGGCGCATACGTTGGGGAAGCGTATGATATGATAAGCTGCATGTCCCCCGCCCTTTGTCATACTGTGCATGAGACAGAGCGTATTTAGGCCACGCCCACAGCGGGGGGAAACAATCCAATCGTCTCCATGGACTTTGCGTCTGTAGATTTCTCATAAATTCAACAAAAGTTGGCATTGTAAATCATCCCGATCTGCACCGTCATCACAGACACCGCTAGAAAGCTCTCTCTCTCTCTCTCGCTCTCCTGTACAATGTTGTCACATCCAAATATGGTCATTTCCTTTTAATCAGCAACCAATCGCGAAAGTAAAAGGGGGATTTAACTCTAAATGAGCAATCTCATTGGCCTGATGGAAATCTTTAGATCCCGTTTTGCGTTTTCTCAAATGACTTTTCTCTCAAACTCCAAGTCTGAAATCTCCACTTCAGTAGCACCGATATACCAAACCTAATACACCAAACTGTCCAGTCATGTACCTAGTTTTATTATGAAGACTATTACAGATGAATTTGTAAATATATTATTCCTAGCTTGATTTATATAACATTGTTTTACTAAAAATATGGCGAAAATCTATTTAAGGCTATCTGATTACAGGATAACAAAAGTAGATATACATAAATATCTATTTTCCCCATCTATTACTGTATGTGAACACAATGAAACAAATATCTTAAACCTGGCTTTATCTAATAGGCTACTCAGATTTCGTTTTTATTTTTTTAAATATATATGCAAATTCGCACATATTTAATTAGGCAATGCCTAATAATTTAAGACTTGAGACTTGACTTGAGCTTCCCAAAAATGACTTGTGAACATCTCTGTTGTATATACATGACATCAATGCGTTATTAGGTAAATCATTTTGTGAACCGGTTCATTGAATCAAACTGTCCTAAAGAACCAGTTCACGTAAAAGAATCAGACGTCCTATCTCTAATATTAAAGCTGGAGATCAAAAACAACATTCACCTCTTGGTTTCGATCTTCATCCGTCCCAGCTCCATGCTGATAGATCGCTGCGCGCTCGGAGACTCATGGGAAACGGTTGAACTGAGCGTGCTCACTCCGGACGTGACCACGGTGTCGTCGTGATGAGCGACGGGTGCTATGCTAGGCATGGCGTTTCCGTGGGGAACTGTGTCATCATCAATGTCCTCCTGCTCGGCCGGGTCGCTCTCAGACGCCAGCGTGAAGTGTGGACGCAATTCTGGGAGTGAACAAACACTGCATCAAGAGAACTGATCCCTCCGGACACCAGCTCAGGCAATGATCACCAAAAACAAAATCAACAACTCTTTTTTCGAGTCAGTTCGTTTGTAGAATGAACCAAATGACTCGAAAAGATTTGTTCATTTTGATGAACGAGTACGAACGCTCATCACCGAACAGAGCAAGGCGAGCATTTGAGCTTATAAAACTTAAACTTTGTTATTTATTCATTAAATGAGTGATCGTTTCGCTTGATAAGACCCTTATTCACCATCTGGAGTCGTTTAAAGCCCTTTGAACAGTTTGCACTGAAACTGTCTTTTGGACCTTGAACCGTTTGGTTCCCATTGAAGTCATCATTTTGATGAACGAGTTCGAACAGGAGAGTCACGAACGAGCATAACAGAACAGAGCAAGGCGAGCGTTTGAGCTTATAAAACTTAAAGGAGTAGTTCACTTTAAAAAAAACCTTTTGCTGATAATTTACTACTATTTACAATGGGAACCAAACGGTTCAAGGTCCAAAAGACAGTTTCAGTGCAAACTGTTCAAAGGGCTTTAAACGACACCAGACAATGAATAAGGGTCTTATCAAGGACCCTTCGAGTCATGACTCGAAAAAAAGATTTGTTCATTTTAATGAACGAGTTCGAACAGGAGTCATGAACGCGCATCACAGAACAGAGCAAGGCGAGCATTTGAGCTTATAAAACTTAAACTTTGTTATTTATTTATTAAATGAGCGATCATTTTGCTTGATAAGACCCTTATTCATCGTCTGGTGTCGTTTAAAGCCCTTTGAAGCTGCACTGAAACTCTCATTTGGACCTTGAACCGTTTGGTTCCCATTGAAGTCCATTATATGGAGAAAATCCTGGAATGTTTTCATCAAAAACCTAAATTTCTTTTCGACTGAAGAAAGAAAGACATGGACATCTTGGATGACATGGGGGCGAGTAAATTATCAGCAAAAGTGTTTTTTTCTAAAAGTGAACTAATCCTTTACCTGATCAGATTCAAATCGGATATGAGCAAAAATCGGATTTGGACCGACAGTGTAAACGCGGATTATGAAATAAATGACCAATAGCGAAGAAAAGGGATATTTCTGTGAAGTAACGGTTTGCTGTTTACCAGGGACCAGTATGACGATGGCAGTCTGCACAGCCTTCCGGATGATATTATCCAGGGCAAACATCCAGTGCGGCTTTATGTTGTGGTTCCGCAGGACTTTATTTACCTGCAGAAACATTAAAACACAACTATTTACTTTCATATAATCAACTTTTAAGAAAAAGTCACAAAAGTTAGAGAACCAGGATACTCCACCCAAATATGAAAATGCCGTCATCATCTCCTCACCCTAAAGTTGTCGCAAACCTGTTTGAGTTTCTTTCTTCAGCTGAACACAAAGGAAGATGTTTTGAAGAACGACTGGCACCATTGATGGAAGACAAAAGTTTCTATCGTTCTTCAAAACATCTTCCTTTGTGTTCAGCAGAACGATATTTGGGTGGAGTTTTCCTTTAAAAAGAAAAACCAGCATTTGCTTTTCAAGTCAACATCTCATTTTAATTTTGTAACGAGACTATTTCAGATGAAGCGGATATTCAACACTTGATTGGACGGCTCACCGCATCCTGGAAGCTGAAGAGCGCCACCTGCAGTTGGCTGATGGCCGTGCTGTCGAAGTCCAGCTCCAGTTTGAGCTGTGAGAGCGTGCTGGCAATGATCTTCCTGTCCGCCATCCTCACGAACTCCCCCAGACTGGCCACCAGCATGGAGATGTGCTGATGCTTCAGCTTGGTCTCCTCGGACCCCTGTGTAGAGGGGGGACACCAATCACACTCACAAACAGGGACATGAAATCAACTGTTAAATCACAAACGACCAACAGAATCTGTGGGACTGCATGAAAACAACCTTATTATTAGAGATTTTTAAAGGACATTTTTACCAAAACATATCATAATTCCCTTATAAGATGTAGGGCCAGATTTACTAAACAGGGCAAATTAGCATGAGAGCACAATCTGATGAACACACACACGTGACGATGAAAGAACACAGCCGGATCATTCCCATCATGACCAACACAATCCACCAAGAGTAGCGCAAGCTAGCGTCTGGTTTTTGACGTGCTTCATTGGGCGGTAAACAACTGCACAAACACCAGTAAATTAATGAGCGCAATCCTTAGTAAATCACCTTGCCTGATTCATTTAAAGTAGTTCACTTTTAAAAACAACCTTTTCTGACAATTTACTCGCCCCCATGTCATCCAAGATGTCTCATGTTTTTCTCAGTCTAAAATAAATGAAGGTTTTTGATTAAAACATTCCAGGATTTTCTCCATATAATGGATTTCAATGGGAACCAAACGGTTCAAGGTCCAAAAGACAGTTTCAGTACAAACTGCAAACTGTTCAAAGGGCTTTAAACGACACCAGACGATGAATAAGGGTCTTATCAAGTGAAACGATCGCTCATTTAATAAATAAATAACAAAGTTTAAGTTTTATAAGCTCAAATGCTCGCCTTGCTCTGTCCTGTGATGATGCATTGCATTTGTGACTCTCCTGTTCGAACTCACCCGCATGTCATCCAAGATGTCCATGTCTTTCTTTCTTCAGTCGAAAAGAAATCGAAACGAATTCGAAAACAAATCTTTTTCTGAGTCATTTGGTTGATTCAACAAACGAAACGAACGAATTGACTCGGAAAAAGATTTGTTTTCGAATTCGTTTCGATTTCTTTTCGACTGAAGAAAGAAAGACATGGACATCTTGGATGACATGCGGGTGAGTAAATTATCAGCAAAAGTTTTTTGAAAAGTGAACTACTCCTTTAAATACTCTCCTTCCATAAATTTTGCATCTGAAAGGAAAGACTCTTACAAAAGTGAGAAAATAACTCTGTCCACGCCTTCCCAGCACCTTTAACTCTTTCCCCGCCAAACACGGAATTTTCCGGGTATCCGTGTTTTAGGTGGTATACGGTAAGGAAGACCCGCGCGCATGTCCTGAATGATTGCGCAACTCTTTGATCAGAGAAACAGATCGCAATCGTCTCAAACAGTGAAGTAGTGAGAATGTATCAGACAGACAATGCAGAGGTATATGGCTGAAGTACTGGAGGTTAATGGACTCGGAGTCCGATCACTCTTTATTTGATCATTCTGAATCTGATCGGGACGAAGTAGTCAGTGAGAGAGATGCACATGTTCATGCTAGCCATGGACGTGCCGCAGATAGATCGTATAATATTATGACACTATAATATGTATGTGTGTGTGCAGGCATTTATGTGTGGCTGTCTAAATATGAAGGTGTAATTGTCAAATTATTTCTCTCTTTGTGCACATTTACCACATTGTAATATGTATTTGTGTGTGTGTGTGTGTGTGTGTGTGTGTGTAGGCCTGTTTATTGTAATTCCAATTATTCATTATTCACAGGTAGAACACAGAGAGGCAGAAGTTTTATTGCAAAAGTTACATTTCCCTTACATCCTGGGAAATTTGATATATTTTACATTTATTTATGTTTTTAATTTATTTTGGAAAGTTTTATATATGAAGGAAACAACATCTGAATGTATTCCGCTTTTAAATGCACTTGTTTGATAAAAATACCTTTTTCTCAGTTTTTTGTCCAAAATGTTGTGTTTTTGACAAAACCTACCTCTGTTCAAGAGGCAATAAAAAAAGAACAAATGAAGATAAAATAAAAACGTTTTTTTTTTTTTGCCTAAAAGCAGAGGCTCAGATCTTTATTTTTATATATATCATCTTCATATATTCATGGAAGAAAATATTCAGCGGGGCATTAAAATTTTGCGAAAATCGTCAAAAACCCTGGCGGTGGCTGGCAACTTTTTTTTAAAACGCTGGCGGGGAAAGAGTTAACACTAAAAGATGGTCAAGCGCTGGACGAAGCTGTTGGTGAACCTGGCATTAGTCCCGAGCAGGTTAAAGGGCCCACGTGATTTTGGTTCCCATTTACTTCTATGGTTTTTTTTGTTCATACAATGAAAATCAACAGGAAGAACACGTGCTCTTCTAAATATCTCCAAACAATTTACAGCTCAGCAGATTAAAGAAATGCTTACAGATTTGCAATGATATGAGGCAGAGCAAATGAAGACAGAATAATGTTTTTTGGGTGAACTATCCCTTTTTGTTTGTCAATACAACTCTTTATACTGCATAGACCAATCAGCATCCAGAAAAGCAACTCTCAACTTTATCGAGTTGCGGTCACCAGGCTTCCCACACGCGCGCAGTGCTCGGGCTCACCTGGGTCAGCGCCTCCAGCAGGTGAAGCACTATTTTCTCTCGGTCCTCGATCAGGATCCGGTGAAGGGTCGCTCTCCTTTCACTGTCTTTCCTGAGCATGAAGAAGCCCGAGTCCTTCTCTTCTGGAGACGGGGGTGCGCTGTGGTCCTCAAAGTTCTCCACAGGAATACTGCAGCAGATTTACAGATTTACTAAAAGCAGACACACTAAATGCAGGATAAACGGGTGTGTTTAAGCTGGAATGACCTCAGGAAGAGCGAGCGGTGGCCTTTGACCTCTTTCTCGCTGTAGCACTTGGTGCTGGGTTTAAAGTTGAAGGGGTTTGTGCAGAGCTCGTTGTCGGGCGAGACCGAGCCGTACTCGCTGCTGCTGCTCGTGTCCTCCACCACCACGGGAACGGGGAGAGATATGCTGCGCAGATACTCTACGACACACACCACAGACATCACACACTCTTCCACAGCTCGGCCTAAACGGCCCATTGATGAAGAACCTTGAGCTACATTAAACCTACTTTGTATAAAGAAATAAAATGCTGTTTTATGTTGATAAATCATTTCTATATTTGACACATTTCAATTTAAGGTATATTCGAATAAAGAGTAAAATGAACATGACTAAGCATGAATATTGACTACATTTACAGCCAGGTTATTATCATATAAATAAGAAAAGAGAATGAATAAAACAACAAAATAAGGTCAAATGCTTTGAAATAGACTCACCAGTTCCTGGTGTAAGAGCTGTGTATAAAAAACACAAGAGATGAGAAGACGATTCACAGTACAAGCAGCGAAGAGAAAAGATTTGACCAGGTCTAAATGCAGTTTGTGTGTCTAAATCTCACAACTCAGCTGTGTGATTTCAAAGCAACAATAAACATTAAATGGGGATTATGAGTGTAAATCTGTAAAATTTATTTATTTTAAAAAACAAGACAAAAAAACTATGGTCGCAAGTTCCTTTGAACTCTATTGGTGGTTTTGGGAAACGCGCCCCTGATTGGGTAACATGGCTGAAAGAAACAAAAGTAAGATTGTAGATTCTGTCCAAGCAAGTTGGGACCAAATATTAATATATTAACAATAATTCAATCTTAATTTGGGGATTTATTTATTAATAAATTCTGAAATTTGGAAATTTAGATTTACTTGTCTTTCCATCATGTTATCTGAATGATGCTACTATAAGAGTAGTGGGATGGAGGTTTATACTTATATATACACAATAAACTGTCAAAATACCATATGCCACTGTTTTATTCTTTTAATCGATGGATACGATGGACATCATTTTAAAGGAGTGGGTGGGGTGGGGGTTATACATTTTTTAAAGCACGTTAAAAAAAACAATTGGATGCCATGTTGTTTTTGTTAGCCCTCAATCGGGTCATGGGGGCAATACGACCCCAATCGACTTTAATCTCAGTGGAATAAATTTGTGTGACTTTTCATACATTATCTATCTATACACACAAAAAAAAACTGGGCTTGATTCGGTTGTTCTGAAGGTATGTAAAAAAAAAATGTTTACACTTCTGGTCTTCGGGGTCAATATGACCCCACATTGAAATGAATGGGAAATGTGGAAAAAAAACTAAATATATTTTCTTCATGCGTCAAAAAAAAATCCAGCATAAATCTGAAAATGTTTACACAGAAATGAAGGCCTAGTACTACAGCATAAATGCAATGCATCATAAAAAAAATAATATTTCATATGCAAGCTAATGGTGTAGTTGAGGAACTGTGTGGTATATGGATGGATACAAAAGTACTTTATATCGCCTAAATAGATGAGAAGTAAACAAGAAAAAAATGATATATTATTTGTATGATTAAAAATGTATATTTTTTGTACAATTACTCAATCAATTGTTGGGGTCGTATAGACCCGAAGCCCAAAAGTGGAAACAGGAAACGAAAAACATTCGAAGGTTAAATAATAGTTGAATCTAACAGATGACAGTTTCCCATTCGTCCCCTAGTTCATGAAATGTACCCATTGCATATGTTGCTGTATTGTCCATTAAACACACCTGTGAAACTGTTGTTCTTGGAGCGTTTTTTGCGTGATGTAACGGTGAGGAATTCGTGCGTGAGCAGATGGTTGGACGTGGCTCGGCTGTCTGGGTCCGGCTCGAAGCAGCGCAGGATGAAGGCTTTGGCTTCAGACGACATGGAGTCAGGAATCTCCGGGTGGATTTTAAACATCCCGACCTACACAAGCATACAAAAGCATTTCCATAACTCTTTCCGATATCAAACACAATATTTTCTCTTGGTTTTTTCAGAATTTAGTAGTAGGAAATGACTAGTAATTTAATTTTTTATATCAGCTATGCATTCCTTTAATTTTGTGAATTAGTAAGTTTCGTTAGGTTTTGAGGAAATGTACAGCTGGGTATCATCAGCATAACAGTGAAAGCTTGATATCTCCTAAAGGCAGCATGTACAGAGTGAATAGCAGCGGTCCTAGTACTGAGCCTTGTGGTACGCCATACTGAACTTGTGATCGATAAGACAACTCTTCATTTACTGCTACTGGTCAGATAAGTATGATTTAAACCATGCTAATGCAGTTCCACTAATGCCAACATAGTTTTCGAGTCTATTTATAAGAATGTTGTGGTCAATCGTGTCAAATGCAGCACTAAGATCGAGTAACACTAATAGAGAGATACAACAACTCCAAAGGCTTCTTGTCACTATGAAAGATATAAACCAACTCCCATCCCTTTGTGACATTCAGAATGGACGATATTCCTCTTTGGATTTTGGTTGCTAAGGTGCTAAACAATGGTTGCTAGGGCGTAGCTAGGAAGTGTTGAAGTGATTCATGATGCCCCGAGTCAAACGAGACCACCCTCATGTTTGTATGACAATTCAGTCCAGAGATATGCCTTCGAACTCTTTCAATGGAAGTCTATGGGGCTTGTTGCTAAGGTGCTCTAAATGGTTGCTTCTTTGACAGAAAAGGCAGGTTTGAGATTGGCCTGTAATTGACTAATTCTGTAGGATCAAGTTGCGTTTAACAAATGTTTTTATCAGAGCCAGCTTAAAGGTTTTTGGTACGTATCCTAGAGACAAAGACGAATTAATGATATTAAGAAGAGGATCTATGACCTCTGGAAGCATCTCCTTCAGTAGCTTAGTCAGAATAGGGTCTAACATACAAGTTGTTGATTGAGTTCATCTCCATCAGGATCATCGGATCTCCCATTAATTATGTGGTTTTACAGTGGGCTGTACATTTTTCCTAGAAGTACCAACTAAATGCCAAATTCGATTTAAATGTTTCACAAAGCACATGTATCAAATAAAGAAACCTAAAAGAAAATAGTGTGGATTTTGTGACCTTCTTTGGTCTTAAATTGACCACACATTTCCTTCAGGATGATTGGCACTGGTTCTGACCTTGAACATCGCTGCTTGCGGTTCCCCAGCTCATAGAAAGGTGGTTTCCCAGTGGCCATTTCTATAATGGTGCAGCCCAGGGACCAGATGTCTGCCGGTTTACCGTACCCACGTGGCCCTTTATCGATGATCTCAGGAGCCATGTACTGTAACGTACCTGCAATACACACAATAAGTAATAGCAACTGCTGAACATTTATAAGACACTGTAAGATACTAATCAAAAGTCAATGGACAACACCCTTCAGTGTCCTTCAGTGTTACAGAAGAAATAAACTTATCGGTTGATAAAATGTTGATAAAAGTGAAAAGAAGCAGCAAATCCAACACACTCAGTACCAGTAAAGGTTTCAGTGCAGGGGTTTATTCCGGCCAGGCGTTTGGACGTCCCAAAATCAGAGATTTTCAGAACTCCACTGTAGGTGTTTATCAAGACGTTATCCCCCTGTGTGTCACCAAAGCAGGAATCGTCTATGATGATCAATCTCTTTTTTTGAGCAATCTCACAATTAAAGGAGTAGTTCACTTTTGAAAAAACTTTTGCTGATAATTTACTCGCCCCCATGTCATCCAAGATGTCCATGTCTTTCTTTACTCAGTCGAAAAGAAATTTAGGTTTTTGATGAAAACATTCCAGGATGTTCTCCATATAATGGACTTCAATGGGAACCAAACGGTTCAAGGTCCAAATGAGAGTTTCAGTGCAGCTTCAAAGGGCTTTAAACGACTCCAGACGGTGAATAAGGGTCTTATCAAGCGAAACGAGCGCTCATTTAATAAATAAATAACAAAGTTTAAGTTTTATAAGCTCAAATGCTCGCCTTGCTCTGTCCTGTGATGATGCATTGCATTTGTGACTCTCCTGTTCAAACTTGTTCATCAAATTGAACAAATCTTTTTACGAGTCATGACTCGAAGAGTCCTTGATAAGACCCTTATTCATCGTCTGGAGTCGTTTAAAGCTCTTTGAACAGTTTGCACTGAAACTCATTTGGACCTTGAACCGTTTGGTTCCCATTGAAGTCCATTATATGGAGAAAATCCTGGAATGTTTTCATCAAAAACCTTAATTTCTTTTCGACTGATCAAAAGAAAGACATGGACGTCTTGGATGACATGCGGGTGAGTAAATTATCAGCAAAAGTTTTTTCTAAAAGTGAACTACTCCTTTAAGATTATTATTACCTTAATGTCTCTGTGAACGATCTGGTTGTCATGCAGGTATTTGAGACCCTCCAGGATCTGTTTGGTGTAGAAACCGATAGTTGGCTCGTTGTTCTTCAGAGGGCCCCACTTTGACCTGAGCAGCGCTGACAGACTGCCTGCGGTCACAGGAGAACACAAGCGCTTGAATATCTCTGAACGTGAGAGTGGAGAGTAAAGGGTAAAGGGTTAGATGTCCGCCTCACCTCCGGGCACCTGCTCCATGAAGATCTTGATGAAGCCGTTCTCGCTGATGGAGCCGAGGTATTGCACGATGTTCTTGTGCTTCAGGTGTTTATGCAGGGCTATCTCTTCATGCAGAGGCTGCGAGTATCTACCAACACACAGTGCCGTCAGATCAACTGTAGCCGTGTGACTGCTGGCACTTTTCACATCCTCAAAAGCATACATGAACATTGCTCATTTATATTATATATACACTCTCCTAAAGGATTATTAGGAACACACACTACTAATACTGTGTTTGACCCCCTTTCGTGGCATTGATTCAACAAGGTGCTGAAAGCATTCTTTAGAAATGTCGGCCCATATTGATAGGATAGCATCTTGCAGTTGATGGAGATTTGTGGGACGAAGCTCCCGTTCCACCACATCCCAAAGATGCTCTATTGGGTTGAGATCTGGTGACTGTGGCGGCCATTTTAGTACAGTCAACTCATTGACATGTTCAAGAAACCAATTTGAAATGATTCATGGTGCATTATCCTGCTGGAAGCAGCCATCAGAGGATGGGGACATGGTGGCCATAAAGGGATGGACATGGTCAGAAACAATGCTCAGGTAGGCCGTGGCATTTACAGTAAACGATGCCCAATTGGCACTAAGGGGCCTAAAGTGTGCCAAGAAAACATCCCCCACACCATTACACCACCACCACCAGCCTGCACAGTGGGAACAAGGCATGATCAGAGCCCGTCTAACGGAGAGCCTTGGCACTTCCTATTAGCCCCGTTGTGTATCATCCTGGTTGCAGTTCCATTAGAATTCCACTGGGGGTGATCATGAGCGAGAGCAGAATGAATGGGAGTCTATGGGGCTAAACGGCTAAATGCGTCTTTCACCTGCTTGTCGTTAAATTAACATAGATTTTATTGTTGATTCCACAAGTTCAATATAGATTATAGGCCAAAAGTCGAATGAACGAGTACTTATGTCCTTTTGATTTCTTACAGGTTAGGCCGTTGTTGGCCGGAGCACGCTAGCATTTTGCTATTGTGTGACATCATCACAGTTTTGAACGGATTTTTTGAACAGATAAGTGAACTTAAAAATGCAATTTTCAGCTGAGTGTATTATCTTATCCCTCCCTTTTGAATGCAACTTTCAAATTACATCCTGAGAAAAGTGGATTTCTGGGGGTGAAACCCCATTGACTCCCATTCATTCTGCACTCGACCGCCAGCGCCCCCGCATGGACAGAGACGAGTTACTGCAGCCAGTCCAGAACCCGGAAGTAACCAGACAGTGCCAATTCTCTTCAATTAGACATTCTCTGGCATGATGATCCATGTTCTCATTCTGTTTACACCAAATTCTGACTCTACCAACAGAAATCGAGACTCATCAGACCAGGCGACATTTCTCCAGTCTTCAACTGTCCAGTTTTGCAAATTGTGGCCTCTTTTTCCTATGTGTAGTGGAGATGAGTGGTACCCGGTGGGGTCTTCTGCTGTTGTAGCCCATCCGCCTCAAGGTTGTGTGTGTTGTCTGCATACCTCGGTTGTAACGAGTGGTTATTTCAGTCAAAGTTGCTCTTCTATCAGCTTGAATCAGTCGGCCCATTCTCCTCTGACCTCTCGCATCAACAAGGTGTTTTCGCCCACAGGACTGACCCATACTGGATGTTTTTCCCTTTTCACTCCATTCTTTGTAAACCCTAGAAATGGTTGTGTGTGAAAATCCCAGTAACTGAGCAGATTGTGAAATACTCAGACACCAACAACCATGCCACGCTCAAAACTGCTTAAATCTGTTTTCTTTCCCATTCTGACATTCAGTTTGGAGTTCAGGAGATTGTCTTGACCCCTAAATGCACTGAAGACACTGCCATGTGATTGGTTGATTAGATAATTGCATTAATGAGAAATTGAACAGGTGCTCCTAATAATCCTTTAGGTGAGAGCGTATATAAATGTATATTTATACAAAATCTCCGTCACTATAAACATGCCTGTCATGCTATTGCCATTTCTTGTGAAATAGATTTTTTTTATTTTATATTAAGTCATTCTGTTTTCTTAGCATCCCATAAATTGCAAATTGCATACCATATTGATTCAATACAGGACATTTCCTTTTGGAATAGTGGACAATTCAACACAATTAACACATCTCTGACTGCTTGAAATGTCTACTGTCTTATGTTTTCGTTTTCATTTCTAGTTAAAATAGGAACAAGGTTCAGCGGGCTATAGTTATAGTATTCAACAACAGTCAAAGTTGTCAAAAATGATAACAGGCATACCTATCCAAAAGGAAATTGGATTTTAGAGTGGATTTCCTCACCTACTGTCCCGTTCGGGAATCTCTTTGATGGCCAAGCGCACCTGGTTACTGAGGTCACGACCGGCGTAGACCACACCGAACGTGCCCTTACCCAGAACCAGCCTGTCTCCATGCTCATCGTACTCATAATCATACTGCAAAACACACACACAATCACATGTGCTATCATCAGTAGAACTACGTATAACAAATGCATTCAACAATAAATATAAAAATGTATATTTGGTAAGCATTTGCTCAGGAACATCCAAAACGTCTGGATTATAATTTTACCTCTAAAGCCTCTGATTCACACTCGGCCTCATCTGAGCCTTTCCAGGCCTCCTCGGTGAGAGCGTTCACCAGGTCACAGAACCTACACAACACACAAATCATCGTCAGACATCACGCCGGATTACTTGTATGATTCACATTCAGATTATTGTATTTCATGCCATGTCAGCAGTCAGAGCTATTTTCATGGCATTAACAAAAATACAAATATCATATTTTGACTTTTGACTGTACCAAAGGTTACACTGCAAAAAATGAAATCTTGCCGAGTTAAAAAAATCTTAAAATAAGGCAAGAATTCTTCTTTTTTTTTCTTCTAAGATAAATTAACTAGCCTAGAACTAAAAGCCAAAGATTATTTTGCTTGTTTTGAGAAAATTTTACTTAAATTTTCTTACTTAGAAAAAAATGCCAATTTTGGGGATTTCTTTCATTTAATTAAGTATCTTTTTAAAGTGAATGGTATATTTTGACATACTCCAATGTGTCCAATTCCAATTTCAAGACATATTTTCTTATTTTAAGAGCACAAGGTTTCTTATTTTTAGAAAACAACGTTAGCACATTCAGACACGAATATATAGAAAACGGTTGGTGAGCGAGCCTTTTCGTTTCGTGCTCCAACATTGTGCAACAGTCTTCCAGCAGATATTAGCCTGGCAAATTCAATTGATGTTTTTAAATCTAAGCTTAAGACGTACTTATTCATTGCTGCGTATGAGTCCTGAATGTTTAGTAATTTTATGTTTTGTATAGTGGTATTACTTCTTGTTGTATTGCATTGTTTGCATTTTATCTTGTTGTACAGCACTTTGATGGAAAGTGCTCTATAAATAAATGTATTATTATTATTATTATTATTATATAAATACAACAAAAACAAAACAAATATAAACAAGAAGTCATATTATACAATATATTTTTTTTAAATTAACCTATGATAAAAAAATCCAGAACCTTAATCTCATTAAATATGTCCTTCAAAGAAGTAACTTCTACTTGTATGATCATCACACAAAGACTAAACTTTTACACCTCTATAGGAGGGATACACAAAACTAGTGCATATATGATGATATTCAATTATTGAGAACAAAACCTGCTGACACCACTAGTTCGCGTTTCGATAGTGTGTGTTTGAGTAAATGAACACACTCCGACTGACGAAGCACAATTAGATTAGAATGCTCCCATTATCATTAGCATGGCCTACACATATTAATGGGAACATTTGCAGGAAGGCACAGACAGCTAATGTACCGCAGAGATCAGGCAAAACTAGAAATATGCTGTTTTTTCACCACCCACTGCATGAGATTACACATCTCTCTTTCCTGTGCTCTTTTGACTGACAGGAAATAATTGTCTGTTTTTAAACGATCAGCTAATTTCCGCGGATAATTGCTTTATAGCAGCACATGGCCGCTACATTGTCCATTGCTAGTTTCTAAAATAACTCGAGTAGACAATCAAATGTGCAATTTCTGTCTTTAGTTGGTCTATGGCACTGTAATGGGGAATGAATGAAATGTGGGAAAAGAAGCCGTTTGCAAACACACACACATACTTTTTGCAGTGCATATCTGTGCAGAAATAGATCTGGAAGTCCTCGGAGTTGTTGACCACATACAGGAAGCAGCTGCGCTCGTCACATTTGGAGATGCTGAATGTGTTAAACAAAATCAACAACCATATTTTACTTTCACCGCTTTAATTCAGTGTTCTACTTGTGTTAAAATACACAATATATTTGAAGCTCCAGCTGATCATTGCAGAACACACACAGAGGTCACTCGCGTGACAGGATCTCGTCATCATTACCTGACGCCTCGCACTGACGCTGCGCTGAAGTTCCACTCGTGGATGCCTGTGTTCTGGGACAGAGAGAGAGGAACAGATCAACACCGCTCAATACACCATAATGCTAATACTTCTCAAGTTTAATAAGGACTCCTGTGACTCCTGTTTTTCCATCCCCAAATGTAATGAGTTAACTTTAAAAAAAACTTTTGAGACCCTTTGAGAAAAACTTTCTTTCTTCAGTCGAAAAGAAATTGAAAACATTCCAGGATTTTCTCCATATAATGGACTTCAATGGGGTCCAAACGGTTCAAGGTCCAAAAGATAGTTTCAGTGCAAACTGTTCAAAGGGCTTTAAACAACACCAGACGATGAATAAGGGTCTTATCAAGCGAAACGATCACTCATTTAATAAATAAATAACAAAGTTTAAGTTTTATAAGCTCCTGTTCGAACTCGTTCATCAAAATGAACAAATCTTTTTCTGAGTCATTTGGTTGATTCAACAAACGAAACAAACGAATTGACTCGGAAAAAGATTTGTTTTCGAATTCGTTTCGATTTCTTTTCGACTGAAGAAAGAAAGACATGGACATCTTGGATGACATGCGGGTGAGTAAATTATCAGCAAAAGTTTTTGGAAAAGTGAACTACTCCTTTAAATACTCCTTCTGTGCGACTCTCCTGTTCGAACTCGTTCATCAAAATGAACTAATCTTTTTTCGAGTCATGACTCGAAGGGTCCTAAACAAGACCCTTATTCATCGTCTGGTGTTGTTTAAAGCTGCACTGAAACTGTCTTTTGGACCTTGAACCGTTTGGACCCCATTGAAGTCCATTATATGGAGAAAATCCTGGAATGTTTTCATCAAAAACCTTAATTTCTTTTCGACTGAAGAAAGAAAGACATGGACATCTTGGATGACATGGGGGTGAGGAAATTATCAGCAAAAGTTTTTTTTAAAGTGAACTAATCCTTTAAGAACTAAAATGATAAGACTTTTATTATAACATTTAAGATATTAACTACATTTTGTGACCTCAAATGTAAGGTTTTTAAGGACTGACTGAGACCCTGTAGATCTAGAAAAATATTAAAAGGACTACTAGAACTATGATTTCAGACTGGACAAACAAAACAATGGCTTTAACCAATGGTTGGATATTAAAATAATAATTGGGTCAGGGCTTAAACCGAGACAGTGATTTAGAGAATTAATAAAATGTCTTACTTTGTCATCAGGGGTCACGTGCCAGATGGACAACGTGTTCTCTTCGGCATCTTTGTTAATGGAGAGGTAAGATGGCTGGTAGACTTTAGTGGGCTCCAATATCAACACCTGAGCACAACACAAGCAACATTACAGCCGATGCCGATCTCCACGGACCTAAAACTATAACTAGCACACATGAATACTGTGTCCTGGACAACAAGATGAAATATACTGTAATAAATAATTCAGTTTTCGCAACACATTCTAGGATTTTATAATTCAAATACTGTACAGGACACATGTTATCCTGCCTCAACTTTAGGCCTAAATGAAGTATTTAGTAACAACACTACAGCAAAATATATAAATCATTGGGTTAAACACATTTTTGGGTGAAAATACTAATGTGCCACCAATATATATATATATATATATATATATATATATACACACACTACCGGTCAAAAGTTTTAGATTTTAGTAAGATTTTTTATGTTTTTAAAAGAAGTCTCTTCTGCTCACCAAGGGTGCAATTATTTGATAAAAAATACAAAAAAACAAAAACAAAATATTGTAATAATATCAAAATAACAATAATATTGTGAAATATTTTCTATGTGAATATATAGTCAAGTGTAATTTATTCCTGTGATCAAAGCTGAATTTATCATCATTACTCCAGTCTTCAGTGTCACATGATCCTACAGAAATCATTATAATATGATGCTCAAGAAACATTTATGATTATTATCCATGTTGAAAACAGTTTTTTTACATTTTTATTTCAGGATTCTTTGATGAAGAGAAAGTTCAAAAGAACAGAATTGATCTGAAATGGAAAGCTTTTGTAACATTAATCACTACCATTCAAATGTTTGGGGTCAGTAAGAATTTATTATTTATTTTTGGGGGGAAGAAATTAGAAAATACTTTTATTCATCAAGGACGAGTTAAATTGATCAAAAGTTACAGTAAAGACATTTATAATGTTTTAAATAAATGCTGTTCTTTTGAACTTTCTATTCATCATAGAATTTTTGGGGGGAAAATGGCACACGACTGTTTTCAACATTGAAAATAATTTGTTTTTTGAGCATAAAATCAGCATATTAGAGTGATTTCTGAAGGATCATGTGACACTGAAAACTAATCTGTGTAATCAGCAACAGTAATGATGTTGAAAATTCAGCTTTCAAATCACATTTTAAAATATATTAAAATAGAAAAAAGTCATTTTAAATTGTCATAACATGTTTTATCAAAATAAAGCAGCCTTGGTGTACTTGAACATGTTTAAGTGGCAACACAGTGTGACGGTCAGTGTGTTTAAGAGGGGTCGTACAGGAAAACGGACGGACGTCACATCCTTTTTGGTGGCTTCCACCATGAAGTCCATCCAGAAGTCCACAAGCTCTTGTTTAGGGGCCTGCGGATCAGTGCTCGGTTTCGTAAAGTGCTTATAGATGAGGATGGTCTCCACCAGGGAGCGGAGATACCTGAAACACACAGAGAAATAAGAAAGACTACAACTATGACTCATCTATTAATGGACAACTACTTTTTCTGAAGCGTTTGCCTCTTCAAAGTTGTGTGTTGGCTCAGTTTCCTCCTAGAATTAAAAGTTTTGTTTTATTTGCCCATTTAATAATAGTCCAGGTAAAAAATAAAAAAAAAATCAGAAAAATTGACCAATGAATGAACAATGATGTGATTATTGGATCATTTAAAATCATTTTATAAAGATAACAGGAAGCAAGTTATTTGGAAAATGGATGCAAACAGGTAATATTAGCATATTTACAGTACTATTAGGTCATTCATTTTTTTGACTTCTTTATAACTAAATAAAAAAACATCATAATCTCAATTAAAGATTTTAATAATATCCATGACCTGGCCTGACATAGTGTTTTGTCTAAATTCCTAGAGTATGAATCATCACAATAGTGATGCCTTAGCAAACACTAATGATTCGTTTTTCAGATTATTGTGTGTAAAGTGTGAGTACGTACCAAATGGGTGCGTTGATTTTGAAGAGTTTCTCGGAGGCCTGGATGACCCGTGTGTTGTCACAGGCGAGGATACTCGCGCCGAGGAAGAACCCCACGTCCCAATAACTCTGCAACCGATCCAGACTGCCCTTCTTGCCCAGGAGACTGCTCAACTTCACACCTACACACACACACACACACACACACGTTACATATACACCCTGCAGTGTGTACAGTAGTTAGTCCGTATAATGCACGGGGAAAACAAGAGCCATCTATTTGAGAAAGGAGGGCACTCTTTATTAATTAACCAGACTCAAGAGTAATGCCAACATTAATATACAATTTATTATTGAACACACTGAGTTTGCACAACAAAAAAGCAAAAATTGCAATAAAATACTAAAAGTCTTAAAGAATAAAACATCTCTCAGAAGTAAACCATGATTTTAAGATAAAGACTGTCACGTGATCCTTCAGAAATCATTAATTAATTCTCAACCATCAATGGTACTCATCATTAATAATTGTTTTTATAAATAATTGTTACTCATAAAAAAAACTTAATATTTTTGTAATACACATTTTTTGGGATTCTTTGATGGACAGAATTTTTTTTGTAACATTAGAAATATCTCAATTTTCTCTTTGATCAATGTATTGCCTCCTTGCTGAAATAAAGACTTATAATTATAAAACACGAATGATACACGCATCAGTGCATAAAGTCGTTTGTATAAAACCGTGCGTACGCCAGAACCTGCGCAGAATTCCCTTTATAAAGAAGAATGCGCGCACGTGCGTCTCCTCCCCGAAACAACCATATATGGAGATTAAAACGCCTAGCTTAAATATGCATATCCTCATCTGCATATCATTTGCATGTGATTATTCATCCACGTGATACCATGACACATATGAAATATAGATGTGACGTGTCACAATAAATTATTTATTTATTTTTTTAGTAGCCATATCCTTGCCTTGTTTTTGAATGAATAAATCAAATAGTGTAAAATACATTTCAGAGAAAGATTTTCTCAATCTTTTCCACTGGCCAAATAGTATTTTTAATTGATTTATATTTTTAATGGAAACAGATAGACATGGTTGTGGATTATTTGGAACTATTTTCTCAGACAATCTGCTATTATCATGATTAGCAATTATCTCTAGATAAAACATTCAAACACAGCTCTAGAAAAGTGTTCAAAAGCATTGCATCCACAACAAATAGGTCTATTTCTATTTATTGAATATTTTGTAACTTCTCAGTAATGATTTCATGTAGTTTAAGTGTTAGACTTCATTAACGAGAATGGCATATTTAATCTAAATGTTTATCAGAAGTAAAATATAGTTTAAATCATTATTTCATTTATTTGCACTGTATTTATTAGCCTACTCATGAAGATTTAAGGTTCATGATCTGCCGTTAGATTGTGTGCGTCAGTTTCACTAAACGGCCCAACGCGCGTGCTTAAGAAGGGATGGATATAGGCTTAAAGTGATTGGCTTGGTGAGTGATATTTTATTTATAGGCAATTTTCTTTTTGTATCCTATAGGCTATAATTTTCTTTAGATTTTCGTTCTAAAAGTGACCAAAAAGACATTTAACTCCAGCTCACCATCGGCGTCTCCAATTCCCTTTGTCTCCAGAATGTGCGTACGCACGGCTCAAAGTTTGCTTAAAGATGCGCACATTCTCCCGTCAAGTTTGTTTTTTATAGATCACAAACTTTGCGTGGAAACTGGCGTACGTACGTTTCCAGCCCCGTTTTGTGCGTACGCACGCTTTATAAATGAGACCCTGGTGTCCATAAAG